ATTCAAGTAAAGTTATACATATTATTACAATGAGACAAATTAATTTGGCTAAAAAACTTTTCATGTTTTAGAATGAGAAATCATTTCAGTACAACATAGATTAGCAAGTAAAAATAATCACAGGTGCCAACTGTATGTGTTATCCTGCTACCACCAAAGTTTGTATTTATTAATAACTTTTCTTACTACATTTCAAATATTACCTGTTGCAAAGACACTGGTCCACAACCTTCATCATAGCACACCAGGTTTGTGACGGTAGTAAGAGGGATTTGTGTTTGGGGCAGAAGCTCCTGATATTGCAAAAACTTCTGGATGGAGCTAAAACAACTCCAGGTCGATATGTGTATAATAATACGTCTCCTTTAAAAAATCTTTATGTAGTTCTGAAATAACTTGTTTTTATCCGATACAAGAAGACTGACAATGTTGATAGTGACATCCTCAGGGAGTATGATAATGCAACATGAGTTCAATTACACTTTAATTGCTACTTACAACAGCTTTAAAACAGCTATTAAACATACTAGCAGCAAGTAACGGCACGTTCTCCCTCTGTGCTTAAACTGCATGACCTCTGCTTGTTGTGCCATGCAAGGGAGAATATAAATTATGAATATTTATTAGTTTTGATCAACCTTAATCGTGATTTAATTGTATATGTATTTTAGGGGTTTACAAAATGTGAGCAATTACGACATCTGATTTTATTTCTCCACTTGAATGACTGGGCCCTGCAACTTGTGATAAAGGTTTACACTATTATTATTTCTATACATTGTAAGAATATTCTTGTTTTGTTGACAGAATTGTTTTTCTATTTTGAGACGGTAAAACACTGGTTAAGATCGGGCACTGTGCTGCTTGAAAAAAGGTATTGAAACTGCCCAGGTTATAACGAGGGATAAAAAGTTCTCCACCAAAATGGAAGACAATTTAAAGTTCTCAGAAACAAGAAACTTTTACCACGTACCAGTAATAGCAAGGATCTTTGTCTTCAAATCAATCTTTCCTACTATCATGTTCTAATGCTGAAATTGAACCACAGATCTTGCTGTTTTAATATCAACCAGGCTGCCTTCTCTAGTGTTATGTACAGCTTAATTCCTATGTCAAGTCTAGCGCAGCCATGACTGAAGGGTTTGCTATGGTTGTGCAATGTAAATTAGATGACCTGTAAGCAAGCCTTTTCTCATGTAAGTAAGTAGTAAGTAAGTAATCTTTATTTATATACCGCCTTTTCACTGCACATCAGAGACTCAAAGCGGTTTACAATTGTTATTTTTGGGAGTGGGGGTGCCAGTACAGGAGGCACATGCCAGACCTATTGTACATATTTTTAGTGGTAGGGGAAACCGGAGCACCCGGAGGAAACCTACGCAGACACAGGGAGAACATGCAAACTCCACCCAGAAAGGCCTAACCTAAATAAAATAAAATAAAATCCCTCTCCACTAAAAGTTTACTTGCGGATGGTACTAGTGGCTAATATGCTCTTGAAAGCTGTGCAGTTGCAGAAAAGTGCCAACTCAAGCTCTCATTCTCAACCCATCGAGAGTCAAAAGAACGGCTCCATCATCCTTACATGACAGGTCCCAGTTTATACCTATAGTTCATATGTGTATACGTTATGTTTTGCATTGAATATGTTCATGAATGGTGAGCAAACACGGGTTGAACTTGCAAAACTCCAGGCTCTGCTGGGTGGGTTAGAACCAGGGACGTTACTGAGAGGCAACAGCTCTAACCACTGTGTGGCATTGGCACATTTGGCTATTGACCTCATTTCAGCAATATGACAGATTGAGATGCACTAACTGTGTGCTCTGCATGTATGCAATAAAGCTTTTGCATATATGCTAGCCCTGTTGGGCTGGGAGTCACAGCCCAACAGGTGCTGTTTCGGGTACCACAAACTATTCAAGCTCATCAAATCTCCCATGTTTATCAACAAAATATGTTGCACGTTGTGTTGTAAAGTTCCATTGTTTTCCATCATTCTGTGAACGCTTAGGCACTTCAACAAAGCGGTTCAGGTTCAGTCTTTGCTCAGTCAAAAGTGCATAATACTTAGCTGTTTTAAAATGTGTTGCGTCGCCGCTCATCGCACACGTATTTTCCGCCCGTTTACAAGTGTCTGCCTCTGTCTCAAACAGGATTCTTGGAAGGGTTAACTCATAGGGCATCTCAATATATGTAGTATGATGTAAAAGGCCGCCTCGCCTCTCAGCAAGAAGGTTCTGGGTTCGAATCCCGGTCGGACCAGGGCCTTTCTGAGTGGAGTTTGCATGTTCTCCCCGTGTCAGTGTAGGTTTCCTCTGTGTACTCCGGTGTCCCCTACCACTAAAAACATGCACAATAGGTCTGGCATGTGCCTCCTGTACTGGCGACCCCGCTCCCATCTCTGTGTGGAGTGAGAGGACAAGTGCCCAAAAATAACAATTGTAAACTGCTTTGTGACTCTGGTCTGTGAAAGGTGGTATATAAATAAAGATTACTTACTTACTTAAGTGTCGACAATTTTGAGGCTACAAACTCCTTACTTCCAGTTTACTCTCTCACTACAATCAGTGTTGCAGAAATACTGATAATATGTCTAATGAATAAAAACACCCACTGCTCTGTTACTGGTCTTAAAAACAGGTGATGTTAGGGATTACTGAAGAATTACAAAGAATTACTGAAAGTGTGGGTTATTGAAAACCTCATGACTATTTGAATTTCTTAAAGGAACAGTATGTGAAAATCTGGCCAAAAGTAGTAGTGTAACCTCTCCCACTCTCCCAGATATGCAGACAAATCCAGCTAGGACTATAATTTCTGAATAGACAAGAGTTTTGTCAACAACAAATCTAAAACCAACACCTTTTTCACAAAGGCCCTGATAGAAATCCTCGTTTTATTCATTTTATGTCATTAAGGACTTGATAATAATAACAATACCTTTTTTAGTTCTGCGTCCACATGTTACTTTAGCTCGATGCGGTCAGTTCTGGCAACCCGGATCACAGACTTTCTGATTGGTGAAACGGAGGGCATTTTCAAAATGAAAATAGCAAGATTTAGGGGCTGTAAAACAAATTTTTAAATACAAATATCTCGGCTGAAGTACTGTTTCCACTTAAAGGGCATGTTTTATTTATGTCTTTTGACATATTAGGGCCATTTAATAATGACTTGATATGAAAATCTTACATATTGCTACTTTATAGTTTATATGAGTGTCAAACCGGTCCTTATAGGACCTGCAGCTACGCTGATGCTTTCTTGTACCGGTTTGACACCCCTGGCTTATGTGATTCTAGCGCATGCAACATATTTTTTAATTTTCATTTGAATATTGATTATGATGTGATTGCGTTGCTTAAGCGGTTCTAAAAAGAATTGTTGCTTACATCTTGCCCAGTTTGGTGTCTCATCACTCTGACATGCTGTTGAGAGGGTGATTTGAGACTGATTTGAGCTTTGCTCCGCGCTCCCCTGACACTGTGGTGATGGAGGCTGAGTGGAGCTGTCAGGTGGCTGTCTGTAGCAGGTTTGGTCCACAGACACTCAGACACCAGCGCTAATCTGATCTGAACGGGAGCCTCGGTCTACGCCATACCAAATGCTGCCCTGGCGCTCCACACTTCAGGCGCTAACTCACCTCACATTACAGACCACAGGATAGCCGCTAACTCGTCGCGACAGCTCAAAGCAAAGCCTCAACCGTAGCATTTCAATTACCCACCTTCCCCAGCTCGCATGAACACGTCTGAAAAGGTGTTACCGCTGGCTCACTGTGAACCGTGACTTAAGGGGGAAGATCCCAGGAGGACTCAGTGAAGCAGCTGTGGATACAAGAAGGCTAGCCACATACAAGCTGTATTGATGTGTGTTTTTTTACTCGGAAATGCATGGAAGTGAAAAAAATATATAGCTATTCTTTCAATAAGATCTTTGTTATTCTATCCTCTTTCTCCAGTTAGTGGACACATTTGCATACTCATTCAACATTGAAACCGCTTAAAATAAAATGAAAACAAAAGAATCATCCACTTTTGTCAAGGGCACCAAACCAGATGGCAAGATTTAAAAGGTATAATTCCACAATGTAGTACAATATAGAAATATCAGGTGCAAAGTAAATTATTGTGTGCAACTTGCCCGATTTAATTTTATGTGACATGCACATAATAAATCTGTTTTTTACAATGTTCAGCAATTGAGAAGTAATGTTAATTTCCTTTCACTTTTGCACACATGCAAATTGTTGATAAATATACGCTTGCATCTATACACCTTACCCTGTGCAAAAAGGCATACCTTTATAATCCTGTAGTCACTTTCATTTAGCTTATTTTCTTGTCTTTTCCCATCAAACCTTCACTCAGCCTCTGTCAGCTGCCTTTGTTGTTCTGTGACATTGTCAGCAGTGCTGTTTCTCTGCTTGTCCGTGGAGCTGAGGAATGAACAGAGTGAAGGGGCTGACCTCCATTTAGACTGTGAGACCGGCAGATAGAGCCCAGTGATGGGGAGTCCCACTGGTGTGGACAGGTCACGGCCCGACTGTCAGTCAAACACACATCTCTATTTGAAAGGGGGAGAGGAGGGGAGGGAGAGACGATCCAAGAAGGAAATAATTCCTGAGTAATGTGTGCTATCATTCCTTGCACTAAAAGGATAAATGTTGATAGTATGGTGTGAGATCTAAAAAAAATGTTCAATGTTTTTTTTCTATTTTCTTATTATTTGGTAATTAACTTGAATAAATCCATCTTTGTTACTTCTCATCAAAAGTAAAAATGTATGTCATAAAAAAATATTTATATAATTTATATAGTATTTATCATTCCAGATGAATAAATGCTTTTCATGAACACAATGAAAGATGAGGCCACTGTTGATGTTGCACAATTACCTTATAGATACATTTTCAGCTTAACATTTTCCATTGACTTGAGACACAGGGTAATATCACTTTGTTCTAATTTGTTTTTTTTCCTTGTCTTTTTCATCAGGTCCAGCGTTCCAGGAACAAGCAGATGAAGGAAATGTTTCCTGAGGGCTTTGGGATCCACCACGCTGGTATGCTGCGTTCTGACCGTAGTCTGATGGAGAGCATGTTCTCCAAAGGCTACCTCAAAGTGCTAGTGTGCACCGCAACACTGGCTTGGGGAGTCAACCTTCCCGCGCACGCTGTCATCATCAAGGTAAAATTGGGGTTTGCTTTTTTATGTTATTTTAGTTTTTCATGCTCTCTCTATCATGATTGCCATGAATTGCAGGACTATAAGCCGCCACTTTTTTTGTTTATGGTAATGCGGCCATGTACAGAATTTTAATTTTTTTTGTGGTAGAGTTGAGTTGTTGTCAGAGCAGAGTTTATTAACTTGTTTTTACCCCATCAAGGTTTAGTAGCTATAGGATGCACGTTTATTGTCAAAATAGATTGATGAATGATTTCCAACATGTGGCTGATGGGGTTTATATACTGGTGTGCTTAAAAGTCCGGCAAGTACTATAATTGTTGACATATACATATGTATAGTTCTTTTTCAGCACAAACAAAGTGGGTTTGGACACGGACAACAAAATCGTTTTTGATTGGCAGCTGAGGTTGAGCAGATCCAATTCCTGTAGCCTCTGAAAGAAAATCACAATATAACATCACTCGCTGTGATGATTTCTTGTAGTTCAACCACACACACAACTACAATTATACATTTACAATTGCATTGCATGGTTTTCCTATGGGGCTTTCACACCGCCAACGCTGAAACGCTGAAGCCTCGCTCACCAGACGCGCATTCTCTAGTTTTCAGACGCAGGGGTCTTCACACCAGAACGCCCTGACGCGAGCCGAAAGTAGCCGGCCGGCTCTGATGCTAACAGAGCTATGCTAGCGGCTTCTTGTGTACAGATCTTCTCCAATATGCAGCTTTGCAGCGTGTCTTTGCTCACAGACATTCCACGGGCTTTATATAACAGTAGTATGTGTTCACGGAGGTGCGCCATACGTTTTTCATATTATTAAACGGAATTTCCGCATCGGTGAACACACTCGAAGCAGTTGCATTAGGTCACGGTAGCATGACAACGCATATTTTCACAAGCACACAGTCCCCCATTGTCAACCCTGGTTTGAGTTCTGGTGAAGCCTGGTGTGGGTCCTGTTTTGGCTGTTTATGAGTATTTTCAGTCTGCTCGCTCAGTCCGCTAATGTCCCCATGACCACTTTGCTGCTCTTTGATTGGTTGTCGCACGAACGTCCCTAGGAAAGGATGAGCAGAATCCATCTCCTGTGGGCGTAGATTTTTTGCTCCTGCTCCTCCCTTTTCACTTTCCCGCCAAGTCCGTGCGTCTCTACTGAACAGTCTGTTCGTGCGAACCGAGCGGTCCGTGCGTTGCGACGGCCGAAAGCGCGTCACCATAGACTTTGCATTGAAAGCCGACGCAACGCATGATCCGGTCTGAAAGCACCATTAGGGTTGTACAAACATAGTGATGTTCAAGCTTGTGGTTATTTTTTCTCGTTACACAGAAGCATTAGCCTGCTTTAGTGTTCTGCACCAGCTGGATTTCATTTCTTGTACAATTAGTGTCCCACTTTGGTAAGTATTTCCCCCCAGTAGCCGATAAGCATGTAAAATGTTGAAACTACTGGTCATAAACTGTAAAATGCGATGCAGTCAAGTTCAGCTCCTTCCCACGCTTTTCTTTCCCAGGACTTTTTACACAATCTGTTGTGCTTCAAACTTTCATCACGTTTTATGCCAAGAACATTTAAATCTTATATTAAATGTGCTTTTAACCTCAATCAAATTCCTGTCTGTCCATTCTGCATAGCACTCTGATAACTATGCCAAGAGCCAATTGTGCGCCAACTCTCATCAAACTCATGAACTTTGAATTTCGAGGAAAAAAATACATGATTACAATTCACAGGGTCACTCATACCAGGGTCATTTTTGTACCATTGGATTTTCCTCAGCACCAAATTGTATTTAAAAACATCATATGTATACTATGTATATATTTAAAGTCTAAAGTGTTTCTCAATGCACCACATGATTTTAAAGCACAAACGTTTTTTTTTTTTCCAAAACAGGTCCATATTTAGCAAAATCTGAACAACAGGTGAACTGTAGGTTTTGATGTTGGGCCCCTAGGGCCATGGCTAGGTGGTGTAACCACCCAGCGCCTACACTACCTCTGCTGCTGTGACCTGACCGTTGGCCAGATTTTTACCTATTGCTCCTTTAAATATAAATTCATCTGTAGCCTAATCAATGTCTTTGCTGCTAAATTGAAGCAGGTTTTGCATTGGACAGACATGGCAAACATCATCATATATTACAAACATCATTTGTTCTGCATTTTTATTATAATGTATGTATTTATCAAAATTAATTTTGGCTTTTGGGGTACAAATTATTCATTTTTGAAGCCCTGCTGACGGAAGTCATCCTGACTCTCTACATCTCCATCTCTTGTCTTCCCCACAGGGAACTCAAATCTACGATGCCAAACGTGGAACGCTGGTGGACCTGGGCATTCTGGACGTTATGCAGATTTTTGGTCGTGCCGGTCGTCCACAGTTTGATAAATTTGGAGAAGGAACCATCATCACTTCTCATGAAAAACTGAGCCACTATCTGACCCTCCTCACGCAGCAGAACCCCATCGAGAGCCAGTTCCTCGACAGCCTGGCAGATAACCTCAACGCAGAGGTCAGTGTTTGCAGACAGTACATAACAACGAACAGGAGGACACATACCATATGAGGCCATGGTATGTGTTCAAAACATTCAGAACAACAACAAAATATTTTTTCTGGGAAGGAATTGATTTTTTCTACTTGTACAGCTACAACTTTCGACAGCCGTCAGACCTCAAAAGCAAAGCAGAGCAGGGTTTGATTAGTTTGATGGGAGACCTTTCGGAACACCAGATGCTACAATAGGAAGGCTGTAAACCAGGGGTCTCAAACCGGTTCCTGTTGTAAACTATTGTTTTGTCCAGACACTTAACCTACATTGCTGTGTATGGGGTGGTTCGAAAGGAGCAATGGCACATATTTGAGTTGTCTCACTTCTGTCAGCCTACCCCAGGGCAGATGTGGCTACAGCAATGGTTTACCACCACATTGTATGAAGGTGAATGAATAATGCCTTGTAAAGCGTCTTTTAGTTGTCTTTGTAGTGCTGTTACTTTGTAATTGCATATTTGATCATTGTTATAACAATAATTTAACAATATCCTCGAATGTTTCTGTAAATGGAAGCCATATTGAGTAGTTCATGGACTGCAGGTCCTTCTCCAACAGTGACAAAAACTGAATCCTGCGTGACTTTATCGCTCTGCGGCTGCTTATTTCAGACAATTTCATCATATTTCTAATTACAAACAGTCAGCTCACTCTCTATTTTACACCTGTCGTTGTCTTCACCTGTCGAGCTGTCTCTGCCTCACACACTCCTAGTTTTCATTTAAAAGTCAAATTGTTAGAGAAACGGACTCACACATAGTTATGATGATAATGCAAGAGTGAACACGGGTGTAGTCAGTCATGTCAGCTGCATTTATGTCAACTCAGGATTTATCCTCTATGTTTCATGTTAAATTAAGATGATGTGTTTTTGTCTCTATATGAAAAACATCTGCTTTCGATTGATGTTTGGACTGTATTTTACAGTTCACATATTTCTCAGTCGTGAACCAAGCATAGTTTACAACTGTCTGTTCGGTCGATTTCACCCGAACTGGGTGAAATCATACCTAGAATAGAGGACACAAGTAGTTTGAATAAATAATAGCCTATCGTCCCATCTGGATTACAGCGCTCAGCGTTTACATCAGTGACTTGCCAGCTGTGTATTCTGGATGTGCTATTCAACCATGCGCAGACGGCACTGTGATCCAGACCCGGTGGATGCAGCCTAAACATTTTCTAGAAGATTGGTTTACATTTCCAAAGGGTTTTTTACAACATGCCCCCCACTTAAATATGAAAAAAACGTTTTACATCTTGCCTTGGGACTACAGTTGGAAACTACTCCCAAGGCTGTATTGGCTGTATAGCCAATACTGGAACATTTACAGTAAGGTTGATTCATTTGTACTCACCCTATTCATCCATCCATCCATCCATCCATCCATTTTCTTCCGCTTTATCCGTTGCCGGGTCGCGGGGGCAGCAGTCTAAGCAGAGACGCCCAGACTTCCCTATCCACACACACCTCCTCCAGCTCGTCCGGGGGAACCCCAAGGCGTTCCCAGGCCAGCTGAGAGACATAGTCCCTCCAGCGTGTCCTGGGTCTTCCCCGGGGCCTCCTCCCGGTGGGACGTGCCCGGAACACCTCCCCAGGAAGGCGTCCAGGAGGCATCCTGAACAGATGCCCGAGCCACCTCAACTGGTTCCTCTCGACGTGGAGAAGCAGCGGCTCTACTCCGAGCTCCTCCCGTGTGACCGAGCTCCTCACCCTATCTCTAAGGGAGCGCCCAGCCACTCTGCGGAGGAAGCTCATTTCGACCGCTTGTATCCGCGATCTCGTTCTTTCGGTCATTACCCAAAGCTCATGACCATAGGTGAGGGAGGGCACGAAGATTGACCGGTAAATCGAGAGCTTCGCCTTTCGGCTCAGCTCCCACTTTACCACAACGGTCCGATACAGCGACCGCATCACTGCGCACGCTGCACCGATCCGCCTGTCAATCTCACGCTCCATCCTCCCCTCACTCGTGAACAAGACCCCGAGATACTTGAACTCCTCCACTTGAGGAAGGACCTCTCCACCCGCCTGAAGAGGGCAAGGCACCTTTTTCCGGTCGAGCACCATGGCCTCGGATTTGGAGGTGCTGATTCTCATCCCAGCCGCTTTGCACTCGGCTGCAAACCGTCCCAGTGCATGCTGCAGGTCCTGGTTCGTTGGAGCCAGCAGGACGACATCATCCGCAAAAAGTAGAGATGAAATCCTGTGGTTCCCGAACCGGACCCCCTCCGGCCCCTGGCTGCGCCTAGAAATTCTGTCCATAAATACAGTGAACAGAACCGGTGACAAAGGGCAGCCTTGGCGGAGGCCAAGGCTGCCTCCCCTATTCATCCATCCATCCATTTTCTTCCCCTTTTCCATTTCTGGGTAGGGGAGGGCAATCAGCTGCCAATCCACAGAGCCCCAGCCCCTCACTGATCCTCCTGCAGGTGGTGAGTTCACAGGAGGATGGCTGCTCTGTCTGTGATGACGAGGCAAAATAGGGTTAAGAGTCTTGCCCAAGGACACAAGTGGGAGTCGGTGGAGAAGGTCTTGTGGTGGGATCGAACCCACAACCTTCAGGCTCAAAAGCCAATGTTCTACCAACTGAGACACTGTCGTCCCTATTCAAATAAACAAATACAATAACAACAACAAATGTATCTTTATCACTTTGAATTTCGAGATTGAGGATTTTTTTAACACATTTAAACAGTTTACATTGGTACAATGCATGATTATTATAATGCTCTCTCTTCTATTACAAAAACAAAAACTAACTGAACAATTACACAATGATTTTAGATAAATATAAGTAGTATTTGTCCCAAAGGAAATTTGTCTTTGTCTCACAAGCTGCGATACTGAAGCCTTAGCTTTGTTAATAGATTACATAAAATATGCCATTCAATCATTTGTTGTTGTTGATATTTATTTTTTTCTTTTTAAGGAGTGTTTTATTTGATTCATGTTTTAATCATACTTGTGTAACATTTCTTGGATACATACAAATACAAAGTAATCCATTACTTAGTACTATATTTTTTTTTTACATTTTGGCAAACATTAAATGCAATAGATAAATCCACAAAGCAATATGAATTTGGGGCGGTGGCCACTAGATGGAGACAGAGACCATTGATGAGATTTACTATTGTCCTTATTTCTTTTTCACATTATTTTTTATTCTACAATTTTAAGATATCCATGTTCTTATAATTAAAAGTATATAAGCATATAATGTATTTCTGTTGATAAATAGTTTGTTGTTGTTGTTGCCCTTTTCCTCCCATAGATTGCTTTGGGGACAGTGACGAATGTTGAAGAAGCGGTGAAGTGGCTCAGTTACACTTATCTGTACGTACGAATGAGAGCCAACCCCCTGGTCTACGGCATCAACCACAAGGCCTACCAGGTAACATGTCTGTGACACCGCAGTAGCAAAGAACTCTTAACAAACCATGTTTAGCACATTGATTAGGCACAAATGGTTAATTTTCTTTTAATGGTTAAAGCTGAGATACCTTACTTTCAAACCACAGCAATGGCACTATGAAATAAAATCCTTCTATCTCAAACATTTTGGTTCTATCACTAGTTTTCATATGCACGTTGCCTTCTGTGACATCTTTTTCAAACAGAAAATTGAAAAGGGGAAGACCACGCTCAATTAGACCAAAGCATCAAACAGTGACTCTAAAGTGTGCAAAAGATGACACACTTCATCAGATGCACTGATTAGTTAACGACTTTTTACTTTTACTCCTTCTGCTGGAAAAACACAATGCATTTTTCAAGAAGCAAAACGTACATCAAATTAGTATGAGAGTAAAGTAAAATAACTTCATCTACTCCATGCTTTTCAGAATATGCCTTTACGAGTCTAAACTTACCTGGGTACTTTTTTTTGTGTAATACAATGCAATATTTATGGTTTGCAGAAATATTAGTCCTTCAAATGTTGATAATATTATTCTGCTGTTGTTCTCAGATGGATCCTTTGCTGGAGCTGTACAGAAAGGAGCTGGTGATCGAGTGTGGAAGGAAACTGGACAAGGCCCGAATGATCCGCTTTGAGGAGAGGACTGGCTACTTTGCCTCCACAGACCTGGGCAGGACGGCCAGCCACTTCTACATCAAGTACAACACCATAGAGGTAACCTTGAATTCACGTCTGGTGTGGTTGCTTAGTCTCACTTATGTAATAGACCCCAAATTGAAATGGAATATAAACAATTGAAATAAAGACATTCTTTACCCAATGGATATAATGCTTAATATTTGTACTATTTTCCCATCTATTGTTCCTAATAAAAACATAATTTATATGTTTTTCCTTTTGTAGACTTTTAATGAACTATTCAACTCCCAACGCACTGAGGCTGATATCCTAAGCATTGTGTCCAAAGCGGAAGAGTTTGAGCAACTTAAGGTAAGAAATGTAATACTCTAAAGTTACACCAATGTTATCTGCCCACTGTTACCATTAAAAACATCAGGCAGCTATATGCAGTTTTGAACACAATGCTCCCAATATATTATTTGGGACATTTTGATTTAAAGAACACATGTTATTGACAATGTGCTCTTATAACATGATTCAACAAAAACATCTAAAATTTCATGTCTTCAAGCAAATGACCACAACATTTATAAGAGCAAAATTATGCCACCAAACAATTATATCTTGTAACAAATCTTTGACCGCAGCCTGTTCTGTGTTTCTCAGGTGCGTGATGAGGAGATGGAGGAGCTGGATCAGATGCTGTCTTCGTTCTGTGAGCTGCCTGCTGCTGGGGGAGTGGAGAACGGCTACGGAAAAGTGAACATTCTGCTGCAGACGTACATCAGCCGTGGGGAAGTGGACAGCTTCTCCCTCATCTCTGACCTGTCCTACGTCGCTCAGGTGAGATGTGTGAACGTATCACTCAAGTGCAGCCCGGTACACTCGCTGCAGACTAATATCAACAAAATGCACATGGAGTCCAAACACAAAAAGCACTCAGCTATAAAATAGTTATAGATAAAAGTGTTAAGTTTCAACCACAAATTTTAGGACCAAGTTACGAGTAAGCATATGCAAAAGAAAAAAAACACAAAAAGGTATGTTTAAATTTGATTCAATGTTTTTTTCAAGTATACATTGGTGTCAGTCTGTCAGTATTTCAGTCATATTCACCTATTTTCCATAAGGATGGGGTAAAAAAAAGAGCAGACCTGGGCAAACTGCGGGCTGGGGGCCACATTGAGCTTGATTCACATTTCTATGCGGATCCCAGACCATTCCCAGTAAAAAAAGTCTACATTTGGTCTTCTTAACTATTGGTCCTGTTCTGGTTAAATCCAAGCAAAACCAGAAGCAAATATCAAAACTCATTATCAATAAAATAATATGAATCTAAAAATACCTTCATAATGTAAAAAGGTTCAAACTAAACCAAATCCACACATGGGAAAATGGGCTTGTCCTTAAAGACCTTATGACGGGTTTTAAAAAAAAAAATAGTGGATATCAAAATTGCATGACAATGTCAATTTGAAAGAGATTCCGGCAAAAAAAATCCTATATTTTATAAAAAGAACGTGTTTTTCATGAATTTAAGTTGTCTATGCTCTAACCTGTGTGTGACGTCATAGCGGGTTACGCCCATGCATTGAAAACCATGGATCTATGCCACAGGACTGCCTTTTCTCTCTTCTCTCCACTGATGCCCAACACAATACTGCACTCTACAGGTGACAATTGCTCACTACACATAAATTGCCGTTTTGAGTGTGAAAAAGTGTCCAAGGGGGGAATTGAACCCCAGCATCTGGATTGACAGTCCATCGACACAACCACTGGACTATCTCAGTGACTACAAAATGCTACATTCTAGTAGTTACTTGATACACGCTGTACACGGCCTTGTCATCTTGAATATCCGCGAAAAAAGAACGAATACCAAATTGTAAACAACTTACAGCGTTGAAACGTACCCGTTCTGACGTCACCAAGGGCTGTGAAGTTTTTTCGTTTCTAAGGGCGTTGCTATGGGGTTATTTCGATTTGGGGGGATCAGACAAAAAAAACAACACCTGATTTTGAAACCTTTAGTAGTTATCTTATAATATAAAATGGTATTAAAACTGTATTTCTAAATAAATCAAACCCGTCATAAGGTCTTTAAATAAACTATTTTAACTGAAGTAGCTTTCACACAAAAATTGCAAATCTGTTTTGCCAAGTGAAGCGGGTGAAAACAAGTGGCCCCCCGGAGATAATAATTGCCCACCCCTGTGTTAGAATAACGTTGAGATTTTAAAAGTTGTAGAATGTATATAATGATTCACAGGGGTCATGTATATTAGAAAAACTACTCTTGACAAAACCATAATATGAGAGAAGACTGTACTTTTGGCTTTCTGCTGTCATAAAGTGTTCTGATATCAAACACCCCACACCTGACCAGATCAGTCTGAAACTTTTCCTCCTCCTTGTGACCTTTGACTCCACTCTCATCCTATGTTATTCATCATTTGCTAAATGATAAATTGCTGTGTTATGTGAAACTAACCACCAAAATACTATTCCAGGAGGCCATGTTGGAAACATGTCTTAACATTTAATTTTTAAGATGAAAATCATTGACAGTTCAGCATAAAGCCTTGAAAATACTGCTAATAAAATGGTTGATGTTTTTGTTTGCTTTTTATGATTCAAAACAGTTTACATTTTTATCTTAGATTTGTAATAGATGAGGTGATTGATTGATCGATTGATGATATGTTTAATGCCTTATGGTGGAACGTCCCATTCCCCATAGTCAAAGAACTATAGTAAGTACAAATGATTGCATAATGTCTAAACTGTAATTGGATTAATATTGTAAGCTCCAAAGTGCATGTCTGAGCTACGTATTTCTTCAAGTATCTGCGCATTCCAAATTATTTTGTACCCGTTCAAATGCTTTGGTTTTCTTTATTTTTTTCCAGAATGCAGCACGTATTGTCCGTGCCTTGTTTGAGATCGCCCTGAGGAAGCGGTGGCCGACCATGACGTACCGCCTCCTGACTTTGTGTAAAGTCATTGACAAACGTCTGTGGAGCTACTGCCACCCGCTCAGACAGTTCCCAAACCTGAGTCATGTCATTCTGAACCGCCTTGAAGAGAAGAAACTGTCTGTGGACAAACTCAAGGAGATGAGGAAGGACGAGATCGGTACGAATACATTATTTATTATATTTAGTTCCACTGGTCTAACGAAGGATGAAACCAATTACAAATCTTCAAATCTTGTGTTAATTGCATATTATCTGGATATTTAATAAGCTCATTCCTAAATGCATCTAGACACCTTTTATTAGAAAATAATTAGACGAAATGTACTGACAAAAAAAAAATATTGTCATTTCACGTGGTTTAGCCTAGGAATTACAGATACAATATCAATGACAGACTACCATCCTTAGCAGGAAAGATTTTTTAGCTGCCCTCCACCACAATTTTAAACTATAGGCACCTGTGGGGTTTCCCTTAATGATGATTAAAAACATGCACAATAGGTAAATTGACCAAGACATCTGGAAATGGGTGCCCGGCGCTGTAGTACGGCAACCACTGCTCCTGACAGAGGCCTTCGTGACAATGCAGGATGGGTCAAATGCAGAGGACAATGTTCCCTACAAAGATAAATAAAGTGCACATTTATATTTGCCATTATTTCCAGGCCACATGCTACACCACGTGAACATTGGTCTCACCGTGAAGCAGTGCGTCCATCAGATCCCTTCTGTTACCATGGAGGCCAGTATTCAACCAATCACACGCACCGTCCTCCGCGTCCGCCTCGTCATTACACCGGACTTCAGGTGGAACGACCAGGTACATTCTTCCATTCAGTCTATTAATTAATTCACAAAATTAAGTTAAAGGTTGTCCTCAAACTCACACAGTGCAAGTGAGTCAATTACAAAACACTGCTCAGAAAATCCAAAAATTGCGCAGTGTTTTGCTTGCGACTCACTTGCACAGAGTGAGTGTGTAATTGCACCTCTGAAAACCGCATAAAATTGCACAGTGTATGCCCTACTCAATGTTAGGTGATGAGTGTGTGGTGATGATCCAGGACACATTCTACAACAATGTGTTTTAACTGTTGATTCTCTGATCTGTGTTGGTGATTTCAATGTTTTTTTTAAGTCCTCTGAGATTACTTCTGTTGTGATTTAGGGCTATACAAGAATAAATTGTATTGTGTATTGTATTGTTATGTATGTTCCAAGATTGCATCTTCTAGCTTAATTTTATCTTATCACCCATCCTATTGCACTAGTGAGTAATACATTATAGTTCTACTTCAGTTGAAATGAAATGCCACTTTTTTACCCATCATACAATACACACACTTTCTCCATTGTCTGAAACCCAGTCAGACCAGTGTGAACCCAGACAGCAGAAAGGGGATCTCTGAGGCTAAGTCCTGGTCTTGAACCATCACCCTGGATCTGGAACGAACACGACTCTCTGTGTAGCGGGACTCAATGTTGATGTAGGATCATGGAGATACATGCTGTGAACATGGGCAGAGGAAATGTTATACTCCAGGATTAGGGTTGATCCAACAGAGAAGGATTGTGACATATGTACTGAGAAGTGATGGCATCAGTTCTGACACTGAGTAAAGGACACGCTCACTCAATTAGATATGAACAGTTCAGAAAGTCAGTCTACCACCACACTATTAATCATCACAATATTGAAAAATGAAGGGTGAAATGAATCAAGGTTAAGCACCTGAAATACTACTTTAAATACTGAAATGCTGATGAAATGAAATGATGGTCAGTCAACGAGTATTGGTCACTGGATATTATTTCTTACTTAGATATGTGCACAATTGTTCTTAGGTCCATGGTTCTGTGGGTGAGCCCTGGTGGTTGTGGGTGGAAGACCCCAACAATGATCACATCTACCATTCAGAGTACATCCTCCTGCAAAAGAAACAGGTGATTTTTAATATTTTTAACTCTAGCAATGTTTTCCTGATGTGAATGGATGTATGACATAATTAAATCTTTTTTTATGGTCATAAATCAGCTACAGACTTGTCCATAGCGAATTGAAAGTGTTGGAATACAAATTTGTCTTATTCTTATTCACTAGTCTTTTTGAAACTAAAGATAAAGGTGCACTTTCTGATTGTGTATTTGTTTTAGACTATATATTAACTTTGGCTTTTTGTATGAGCTAAAATGTCTGCTTTGTCTGTGAGTTCACGTTTCACTGTGTATTGTCCCGTGTTTGTCGCCCTCTGCAGGTGGTGACAGGGGAGCCACAGAATATCGTCTTCACCATCCCGATCTTTGAGCCGCTGCCGTCACAGTACTACATCAAAGTGGTGTCTGACCGCTGGCTCGGGGCTGAAGCCATCTGCATCATCAACTTTCAAAACCTCATCCTCCCTGAAAGACACCCCCCACACACCGGTACGACCAGAATCTGTTCAGCGCTCACCTGACCTCTAGTTTTTGAAAATACTAGAATCTGACTCTTTGGGATTTTTTGAGTTACATTTAGTTTGCTCAGAAAGATATTGGAGATATAAAAGAAAGCGTTGTTTTTAGACGTTTGAGGTAAAGGGATGGATGGAGAGTGCGTCCTGATGACTATCTCAGTGTATCATTTTTTGAGTAAAAACCTGATGCTAGTTTACCAAAAAACATGACCCTTTTTTGTAAGTAAGTAAGTAAGTAAGTTTTATTTATATACCGCCTTTCACAGACCAGAGTCACAAAGCGGTTTACAATTGTTATTTTTTGGGCACTTGTCTCTCACTCCACACAGAGATGGGAGCGGGGTCGCCGAACAGGAGGCGCATGCCAGAACTATTGTACATATTTTTAGTGGTAGGGGAAACCGGAGTACCCGGAGGAAACCTACGCGGACACAGGGAGAACATGCAAACTCCACTCAGAAAGGCCCTGGTCCGGCCGGGATTCGAACCCAGGACCTTCTTGCTGAGAGGCGAGAGTGCTATCCACTCAGCCACCGTGCCGCCCAAATTTTGTCTGTGAATGTAAATATCACAGACACTGTTCAATTTAGTATGTATGCTAAATGGTGTTTCAAGGATACGTTTAAGTTTAATAGTTTAGTTTAGTTTAGTCAGATCATTTTTACTTTAACTTGTGTAATACATACTGGACTGGATACTTTTTACTATGTTAATAATCCAGAGTCGGCCTTGGTGTTAAGAGCAGTTTAACCCAGTGACTTTCTTCACTAATCCCATTACTGTTCTTGTATATCTAGAGAGATCTCTGACATCTCTAAATGTTTCCAGTTGTGAGTCTTGGCCTTGTTTTCAGAACCCAAACTGTTGCCATCTGAATCTGTTTTTTGTTGCTGGTTCTTTACTGTGGTTTTCAACATGAAAGTCCGAGTCAGCAGTGTGTTTTAAATGGTTTAATTCAACTATAGAATGATGAAGTCACAAACCATAGAACAGAAGAAAGCTTATTAAGCTTTGTTTTGCACCTTTTTGTGTGGCTTCAAAAAGACTCAGTTGTATTTTACTTTGAGGTTTGTTCAAATGGTTATTAGTAGGCAAAACATGACAAATCTTGTTTTGAATGATGATTATTCACTCATCCAACCCCTTTTCACAAGTGTATGGTATTGTTATTTTGTTCTGCAAAAAATATTTGTATACAGTATTTCTGTATTTGATAATTGTCTCAATCTAATGAAAACAGGCAAAAATTGGTATATTAGTCTTTTACAAAGGTCAGACGCAGTATTTTCACTGGCTTTAAGCAGAATCCTTCGTTTAAAGTCCACATCTCATGTAATGCTTTTCAGAAAGATCGCAATCAGATATTTTGGCAAGAGTGTATGTGATAAGTCTCTGTCCTCTCTCTTTTCCCTTACATCTTGGCTGTATATGCCAAACTATGATGATCATTTAAACTTTTATGATGGCCTCTTCTCTTCAGAGTTGTTGGATCTGCAACCGTTGCCCATCACTGCGCTGGGAAACCCGGAATACGAGAGCCTGTACAAATTCACTCATTTCAACCCAATCCAGACCCAGATCTTCCACACGCTCTACCACACCGACACCAACGTCCTGCTGGGGGCGCCAACAGGCTCCGGGAAAACCATCGCTGCAGAAATGGCAATGTTCAGGGTCTTCAACATGTATCCAGGCTCCAAGGTTTGACAAGCTATAGTTTTACAATAAAAGACAACACAAGAAACTTATGGTTAAATCTTGAAACTCATAAAGCTTGGTGGATTTCAACTAAGATCATATTAATTTCAGATTTAATAGAAAGTACAATGGTAAGAAAAATCATGATTTGATGTATTACCAAAATAGTTCAGCCTTGGTTCTTATGGACATGCATAGACACTAACACAAATACATAATAAATATGCCTTGCTACTCTGCTGATTATATTTTCAAGATATTTAGAGAAAGTATGTCTAGAAATGAATTAAATGTGGAGAGGAAAAATTGGTTGTTGTCATTTAGAATTCTGGTTCGTAATCTTACCAGCCCTTGTCCATAGGTGGTGTATATTGCGCCTCTGAAGGCCCTGGTCCGAGAGAGGATTGAGGATTGGAAAGTTCGCATTGAAGAGAAACTTGGAAAGAAGTAAGTTAGACACAAAATTCCCATATGTCCTGTCAAAAGGCCAAAAAGGCTTAAAATAATTTCTGACAAACTTCTATGAATTGTAGAAATTGAAGGACACATATCTGACATTTTATAATACATGCTAAGAAGATTTGTTTTTTCTCGTTATTATGCTGCATACAAACATATGTATTTGATGCTAATCATATCTGTCATTCCCGGTGAAACTAGGTTATTCCAAAATCCATGTCTGATGTCTGTCCGATGTTATGAAAGACTGTTTAATCGTGTACATGTTGCTAGTATGTAGTGCCGTATTTCCTTACATCAGCATTTTCCTGTCTTCTAGAGTGGTGGAGTTGACAGGGGACGTGACCCCAGACATGAGGGCCATCGCCCAGGCCGAGCTCATTGTCACAACCCCCGAAAAGTGGGATGGAGTGAGTCGGAGCTGGCAGAACCGCAGCTATGTCCAGAAAGTGGCCATTCTAATCATCGATGAGATCCACCTGCTGGGTGAGCCACGCCAGCATATTCACTGTGGAGAAACATTTCTTTACTAGTAAAGGTTTGCTAATAACCATAAAAGTGTTCCATCTATAGAATCCGGTCTACAATTTTGGAAAATAGCTACATTCATGACTAAAGCATTATTTGTTCCTTGTCTCCTCATTCTTAGGTGAAGACAGAGGTCCCGTCCTGGAAGTCATTGTGTCCAGAACAAACTTCATCTCGTCCCACACGTCCAAAAGTGTCCGGGTTGTGGGTTTGTCCACAGCTTTGGCCAATGCCCGCGATCTTGCCGACTGGCTTGGGATTAAACAGGTCTACTATTATTTTATATATTGTTACCATTTGCGCAAGTACATTTACTATGATGTCCCAGAATGATCAGCAGTTGACTGAAAACATTGTGGTTCTATATCTAAATACTGTGTCTTTATTATGAAACATAAATTCAATACACAAATTCCCATTTTGAGATCTTTATCTCTTTTAAATGGGCTGCCTTGGAATGAAGACAGTAATTTCAGAAAGGCGGTAACATTCCTATTTAAGCTCCCTTATTATTAGCTGGCACATTTGAGTTCTATTGCGTTGTCTTGGCCATGGCAATATATCAGCACAGAGCCCACGCCTATGTTGTGGTCAGAGTGTACCCTTTGCCTCTGGATCCATACAATCTGGATCCATGTTCATCTTCTATCTATTTTGTTGCCAAATAAAGGGATTATATCCATTGAAGTCACTGTATTCAATCATGACAAGAGATGATACAAATTGCTCTGCTAACCACATATTATTTCTATATCATGCCAACAATTTATGACCTGTCAAATTTCATGAATTGAAATGTGTCTAAAACTAGCTATTAGTCTGAGTAGATCCTTTGGCATTGTTTTAACAGCAACAAAATCTCTATTATAGACTGCTGTTGTAAGTTTGAATGCCATGTTTATGGTCCAGAGAGGAGAAAGATACAAATGATGGAGTTGGCTTGTCATCCGAGAGCTAAAAGGAGATTTGCAAAAATACCATGACGAATCAAGACAATGGCAGATGATTTGTACTAGTTTAAGAACACACAAAGAGAGTTTATACTAGATGATTTGTTGTATATCAGATTGTGCTGACAATGTTTCAACGGGTTACAGGGTCATATTAGTGACTGTAACAGATTATTTAATGAAAGTAACATTGCTGAACTAACTACTACAGCTAACGTTTATTGGCAACACTTATTTATCTAATATTTAATAGTTGGATCATCTTGTGCCTATTCTTAACAGAGAAGGCTTTGAATATTGCCTTGTATTGTAATTAGGCCTAGCAATCATAAACGCCTTAAATGATTGCAGTTTATTCATTTTCTATAATTTTTCTATTTTTATTTACTGATGTTGATTTTTCTAGTTTTGTAGAACAGATTTTCTCAAGAGAAAACCTAATTGTACCTATCCTTCTGACTTGAGCACGACAGGCCAGTACACACGAGCTGTCTGGATTGTCGCGTTCTGTCATAAATCTCTGCATTCACTGGTCTCGTCGCTGGCACACGTCCCACTCAAACTTTTAATGTGTAAACAACCGCCCTGTGTCCCAGACTTTGCCAAACTCCAGAGGTTAACGTAACGCAGATGGGCACAGATCACCAGCTGCTCACCATAAATCTTTGTCTGTTTTTGTTTTGTCCTTTTTGTCCCTTCTGTCTGTCCATACTTGCTTTTGTTTTGTAACAGGTGGGACTGTTTAATTTCCGGCCGTCGGTGCGCCCCGTCCCGCTCGAGGTGCACATCCACGGGTTTCCAGGGCAACACTACTGCCCGCGCATGGCCACGATGAACAAACCCACTTTCCAAGGTACAACTACAGGCATTAAGCCGCATTTCTAAATTTCAGAACTTAAATGGCTACTCCTTTAAAGGTGCTCTCTGTAATTTTTACAGTTGCTCCAAATGAAAACCAACAATGTTAACCAATAACAAATGTGACCTTTTTAAGAATGTTTACATCCACCATGTTTTCGAATTCTTGTCATAGGCTTAGAATTTGACTTATAAATGTACATGTCAATGCGCCATCTTGAATTACAGTGGTTTTTATAAGGGACAAAAAGAGTGAGTTGGGGACCACTGTCAAAGGCGACATATTGTCCTGCAAAGCTACTGTAGTACCGTAAATTACAATATATGATCTCAATGCTAGATGGGAGTAAAAACTACACAGTGTACCTTTAAGCAGTTATAAGAAATCGGGCCAAGATGGTAAACTGCACTACAGAAAATTATGCTTGAATTAAGTGTGTTTTAATTCTTAGATATAGTAAAACAAGATTTACCAATGATTTTACTAGACAAGAAATTTTACAAAATTATAGTAAATGTATTGAACTACTACTATTTCTGACCCATTTAAACTTTCATCTCATTCCGCTCATAATGGCTGACCTCCAAGCAGCTTGAAATAATTCAGCCGTGTTTTTCTATCATTTCAGCGATTCGGAGCCACTCTCCTGCCAAACCTGTGCTGATCTTTGTTTCGTCTCGTCGCCAAACTCGGCTGACGGCTCTGGACCTGATCGCGTACCTGGCCACAGAGGACAACCCCAAACAGTGGCTGCACCAGGACGAGAGGGAGGTGGGAAGACAGTTTTTATGTTGGTGGAGAAAATGTGGTTGTCACTGGAGAATCAGGGCAAAAGGTGGAGCTGCAAGCACAACCAGCAGCTCCAGGACAGGACCTCTGTCTTGAGGAGAAGAAGAATGAATGAGGGAAAAAGGAACAAATAATAAAATACTTCTTATACTTTAATATTAGATACGATTAACCTAATAAAACCGAAACATGTTTTTTCTTTTATCGAGAGTGAGTGTGGTCTTGTCCATTTCACTGTTTTGTCTGAAATTCAAAAATACATTATTAATATAGTAATAAAGTAAAGCAGTTATGAAGATTTGTACCAACGCTAAATATAAAATTATATCATTATTGTGATATTTCCTTCTCCTGTCCTAATATAACTGTTTGCCCATATCGCCCATTCCTACACTACTTTACCCTTTCCTTGATTTTGCAGCTGTCACTAACATACTGTAGTTTAGATGAAGGGTCCTCTTTTGTTTTCTACAAATTTGCGCTCTTGTTTGTCATACATTGAAACACTAAACTCGGGTCACCATAAAGCCCTTGTCTTTCAGCAGCTGTGCAATAACTGCATCTTCTTCTTCTGTTTGCAATTATCCTTGGGAGAAAACTAATGGAAATCTCCCTCTCTCTGCAGAACTTCAATCATCGTCTTCTCTGTTTGCCCAAACACAATGCTCTAATAAGACCTACTCTTCTCCATAACTATAAGCACACACTCTCGCACAGAAGGACTTTAGGGAGGCCTGAGTTTGCCTCTCTGAACCGCAGATTATCCGTCTCAATGCAAATATGAGTTCTAGCCTTGGAGCCATCTCCTCTGTTTTTTCTGCAAAAAGATGAAATGATAATTACTAGACTTCTTAAAACCAGGTGATGTTTGATGTTTTGAAACCTGGTAAAAAAAAAAGATTCTTCAGTGATGTAATACTGTTTCAAGTATTTACCACACAAAGTAATTAGTAAAAAACACTCCTCAAGAATAACTTGTGGTGTATTTTACAGTTTCCCTGAGATCGTTCTCTGGTCTGTAATGTTGATATATGGGTAACTTGTGGAGCAGTTGTGGCTCCCGCTGAGTGACTGACAGAGTTGGTTTTGGGACGGCAAAACCCCTGTTGGGGGTCAGGCCTCATTCAAACTACAGACTGACAGCTCTTTCCAACCTATTATAACTTCTGCTGCTGCTGGAGATTCACTTTTCTGCTTTTGAACAAGCTCAATGATAAATATTCCTCTTTAACAATACCAGGATGGAGAATCTATAATATAATCTTCATATTCAATATATCTACATATTCAAGTTGGCCTGGTTTGTAGTGTTAAAATCTACCTTTTTTTGAAATTGCAGCAGTCTCAAATAAATCCCACTTTGCTAATTCACCTTGATAAGTTCGTAGATATTTTTTTTACCGCGTTCAGAGCCCAAAGAAGTTTCCCATCATGATAAGCTAACAATAGTCGATCACATTATCTGTGCATTTCCTGGTTCTTTGTCCCTGTATATGTTGTAAAAACAGCTTTCTGTGCCAATATAGCCAAATTGATGTGGCTATGTGCATTCTTTACTTAATCAAAGAACTAATAAACTTTTGTGTTCAATAATCATCATACTAAAAATGCATAAATAAATTAGGAATAATCCGAGACTGTTAAAACCTGTACACACGTAAGACAGTGTAAAACTGCTCTTCTTCTGATTTATTCTCTGTAGATTGAGGCCATCATCGTCACAGTGCGAGACTCAAACCTGAAGCTGATGCTTGCATTTGGCATTGGGATTCACCACGCAGGACTTCACGAAAGAGACCGGAAGACTGTGGAGGAGCTGTTCGTCAACTGCAAAATACAGGTACAGACTGGAAAAGCCACATACAAAACTCCGCAAAGTATACCTTCAATTAGAAACGTTATGTTATGTCTCTACAGAGTTTGATTTTTCTGTTTTTTTAGGTTTTAATTGCTACCAGCACTTTGGCCTGGGGCGTCAACTTCCCTGCACACCTTGTGGTCGTAAAGGGAACTGAATATTTTGACGGAAAATCCAGGCGCTACGTTGACTACCCCATTACAGGTAAAGAGCCCACAAACTGTGCCTTCTAAATAGATCTAAGGCTAAGAATTAATTATGTTTGCGTTTGTAGATGTTCTGCAAATGATGGGGCGCGCAGGTCGACCTCAGTTTGACGACCAGGGAAAAGCTGTGATCCTGGTTCACGACATAAAGAAAGACTTTTACAAAAAATTCCTGTATGAACCATTCCCGGTCGAGTCCAGGTAAAGTTACGATTACCAGCAGTCTCATGTGGTGCTATGCTATGATTTGTAATTTTCACATAATGACTTTGTAGCTTTAAAACTACTAAGATGAAGAATGAATGGGGAGCACACAAACACAAAATAAATGAGCAAATATGAAGGATAGTACACCTCTATTAGGCTAAATGTGTATTTTTTTTAAGTCTAAAGAAACATACATAGAAGTATAACATATAAAGTATTTTTTTTCTTATTATTATTTTTCTTATTATTATTATGTGGTGCTTACATATGAGAAATGGCCTTTAATTGGTAGATATTGACAAAATGTCTTCTGTGATGGGTGTCATTGTGAGAGGCAGGCTTACGTTTGCATTTTGTTGAAATTTGGTTGATTATGTTTTATGACTGGCGCTTTTAATGTTGAGATGAAATGCCAGAAAGTATTGGGATCCCCTCGTAACATTTTCACCCAACATTTCTCTGCAGCCTCCTCAGCGTGCTGTCAGACCATCTCAACGCCGAAATTGCTGCTGGGACCATCTCCTCCAAACAGGACGCCATGGACTATATCACCTGGACCTACTTCTTCAGACGCCTTGTGATGAACCCCAGGTAACACAAGAAGAAAGAGTTCTGTGTGTGTGTGTGCGTGCATGCGTGTGTATGTATGTGTGTGTGTGTGTGTGTGGGGGGGGTGTGTGTGTGTCTTAGGACATCTGGAAGGAGACAGACCACAGCGATCCAGCTGTGAGGCATTTACACGGCTGTCAGAGGCATTCAGCCTTCAGACCCACACAGAGATACTCAACATACTATATCGTGGCTTCAGAATCAAGAAATTGTAACCAGTCCACAGTGTTTAATTGAATTGAGCGTTGAATGATAATTATTTCCAGTGTTTGTCACGTTTCTTTAAAAAGGTAATTGGTTACGGTTACTCATTATACTTTCCTCCAAAAGTATTTGTGTGCATTTCTGAAGGGTAAACCTAAGTGTATGTACCAGCCAAAAAAAAATATTTGCATCAAATATATTTAAGATGACGAGAGAAAAGAAGGATCATATCCTCATTGTCTAACCCAGGTCGCTTCTGATTGGTTGTTGTCATGTCGATAAGTTAACTTTAATCACTTAATCAGTTTAATGCCAGTTTGTTTAATTGATGAGAATCTCTAATCTATGTTCCTGTTTACATTCATCTAAAAACACATGAAATGTTGACCGCTTCTGTGAATGAGACGGCGCTGTGTCCAATCACTTGTGAGTTTCAAATAGAACTCAACCAATCTAAATCTATCTTGTGCATACAGATAATGATCCACATGTGTCAGAGATTATAGCTACAGCCGACATACACAAAATGTCTTCTTTACATGAATCATTGTGCAGAGGTGCTGTGTTCTCTGAGGCTTGTATTGTCTCCGCTCCTCCCTTTTCTCTTGTTTTCCCTCACATTCAGACGAACACATGTCCCCAGGGCCCTTTTACTGTCTGCTGCACCATCAGGGGCCAAACGAGCTGCCGATAATGACCATAGCTTTATCACGCCAGAAATGCTATTCCAAATAGATTTGGTTAGCTTCTGTTAACATGAGAAGCTGGCATTAAACATTAATTATAGCTTGTCTGTTTTACTATATAGTTTATACACAACTCTACCAGGATGTAAACAAAACTGTGAGATACACACCGCCTTCTACAGTTGCTGTGTACAATTGTTGCACACAGTTGTGAGGTTTTAACAATAAAACAAAGGCAAACACTGTATCTTTGTTTTAATTCAGCTTGGCTTTTTTCAGAACAACATATAGTTGACAAAAATATTGTCACTTATAGTGAACTCTGGCGCACTTTGGATTGAGGTGTGAACACTCTCTTCAATACCTTTGTCAATACCAGTCAAAATACCTTTATGCAGTGCATTTTTATATACATTTAGTAATCTTATCATTTGTGCCTCACTGCTTCGTCTTTCATCGTCATAACATTGTGGTTGTACTCGATTCACAAAACCACATTGTTTTTAGTGAAGCTCTGAATCTGTCAATATTGAATGAGGATAATGATTTCCTTCAGCGGTGCCAGGAGAGGAGGCCCACATGAGTCTCTCTGCTCTAAATGCCTGAATAAATAATGGCCTCATGAAGAGCCTCTATAGTTAATCACATGTAAGCAGTGTGAATGTATGCATGATCTGTCAGGGCAGCTGTGACTACAAAAGTGACTTACAACCAAAAAAAGTGTAAATATAATATTTAACAGTGTTTGCGTTTTTATTTAACTATTAAAATACAACCCAATCAACGTTTGCATTTTCTTATTCAGATAAGATAAGATAGACTTTATTGATCTCACACTGGAGAAATTTACAGCCGAGTATGTGTAGCTTTCATCGGTGGAATATTTCTGAGAACATATTTTCATTATGGCAAGGCAAGTTTATTTGTATAGCACAATTGATACACAAGCCAACTCAAAGTGCTGAACAAAATAAGAAAGCATTACAATCATAAATAATCAAAGAACATTAAAAAGAAAGATAAAAATATAAAATACGCACAGCTAAACAGCACTGTTTTAACCTGGTTTTAAACATTGTCAGCGAGGAGGCCTGTCTCACATCTTCAGGAAGATTGTTCCAGAATTTAGCAGCATGAATCCGAAAAGCTGCCTCCCCATGTTTAGTCCTGACTCTGGGCACTATGGGGACAGCCGTCACCCTGCTAGCATTATATTATCGGATTATTGCTTTTAGACTTGTAAATTAGCCAGTGTGAGGTGCCTTAAGGGTTGACTGTACTGCTTACCTGTGCCTTTAGCAGAACCATGTCTGTTTTCTCCCCCACACAAATATTATGAGCTAATAGAGATTATGTTTGATTACAGTTGTGCAGAGCAGACTCATGTGGGAACTCTTACTTACTCTCTCTTCCCTTTTCTCTCTCTCTCGCTCTAAAACATGGAAACCATTTAGCCCGCCGGTTTGGCTTATTTTGTGTAATAACGATCTAACCTGGGAATCATTTGTGTTAAAATAGGCCTTTTTAGCTGGTTCATCTCTGCCTGCTTCTTTACAGTAAGAGGCTCCAAAATGTACTGGCCACACTTCTGTAAAACTATATGATATTGTGGATCTCACATTGTGTCACTAAAATGTTTTTGTCAGACTAAAGTGACATCCCCATTGTCTTTGTGTGTAAAAAAATATTCTCCAAAATTATGTATGAAAAAAATAAACAATTATTATCAATAATTATAAGTACATTATACAAATAGTTGGTGATAGCTGGTTAGTTGGTGGTCCGCATTAGCTGTGGTTTACGATTACAACAGATTGTACAGGTTTTTCAACCTGCAATATTCATAACTTATTTCCTCTTGATTAGTGAGGGAATTTGAGTACACAAGTATACATAATTGATAAGTCATAAAATAAAATAAAAATCTCTCAATACTTTTCCCCCTTTTTTTAGTTACTACGAATTGGAGGACATCAGCCATGAGTCCATCAACAAATATCTTTCCTCTTTGGTGGAGAGAAGCTTGCGAGACCTGGAGTGCTCCTACTGCATTGAGATCCAGGAGGTTTGTCATCCAAATGTACCTCAAACACTTCGGTTCCATTCAAAGTGTGTTCTTCTTGCCATAGGATGACCGCACGATTACGCCCATGACGTACGGACGCATATCTTCATATTACTACCTCAAACATCAAACCATTAGAATGTTCAAGGAGCGGCTGAGAGCGGAGCTGCCCATAGAGGAGCTGCTGTCCGTCCTCACTGTGAGTATGACATGTTCTACTTTAGGGGGATTGACCATTTTGATCTACAATGACTTAATTATACAGGTGTATGTGTGTAACAGTTCATTCTCAATGAATACCACAAACTGGGATCATTGCAGCAAAGACATTTAAAATGCAGTATAACTAAGATTACTCAAACATGACTGATTCACTCAAATCTACATACAAACAAGTTTAGCCTGCTCTTTAAGTCTATTTGGCCCTATTATGCCCCCTTTAACTGTTTCAATAACTCACAACCACATAGGTCACATTCCTTATCACCTTTTTCTTTGTCTGTTATTGATACAGTCTTCCAGTGACCAGCTTAATACATCATTTTCTATTCACATTTTAGATTTTTTTATTCATCTGCATGTCTAATTTACAATCCAAACAGCTTTATGACATCAAAACTGGCTTTTGCTGGAAAGGGATTATTGAAATGAGCAAGTTTTTTTCAATAATGGACAACTCTTTCAGTCATTGATTAATTGTTAACTGCTCTTTACACAAACAACAACACATTTTGTTTTTTTAACATAAAAAAAAAATAATTGCATGAAAAATATCAGGACTTGGATATGTCTCATTTTTAATGATAAAATGGCCTGTTTTGGAAGAAAAGTAAAAATGTCCTCTGGTGGCTTTACATCAGCTTTATCTGGGTCAAACTGAGGTAAACAAAATATTTATATTTATAAATATCTGTATTGTAATAATTGATTTGATTAACTTTAAGAATGACTGCTATAGTAATCGATCTAATTGAATACAATAAAATTGTTCGTTACAGCACTAATATATACAATTTAACTAAAGGATTCAGGAACTTTGTGGGACCACCACCTCATCATAGTAGTTTAGTTCAGTTTATGCCTGGGTTAGTTCAGCTTTCGTTCTAGGTTAGAAACTGAATACTGTTTCACTCAATTCCACATTTGTTTTGCATCTTCGGACTTCTTTGCATCTTAAAAAGCAACTAAAACAAAACGGCTGCTGTGCTTTTTCTTGCAGCTCAGCCCACTCCTTAGCTCTCCTCCACACATGGTTAAATTATCACCTCTGCCTCCTCATCATTAACTGTTTTTCTTCATTTGAACTTTGACGTTGTGTTTGTCACGGGTCAGCCAGAGTCGGCGCTTGATTGGACTCCCTGATCACACTTTTGTACCGAGGGGGAGGAACATTGTGTTAACAAGTAGTGTACTGGTCCAATTTGTGGCTTTTCTATGATGCCAGTAGCGTGTAATAAAGGCCGAACCATTTTTTGTTTTATTTTACAGTTGAGCATTCAGTGGGCATTTTAAACCAATCCAGAAAACATTATTACTGTTGAGGGCTAGAGTTAATAAACAGCTAAACCTTTTCAGAACATATTACAAGCTTTGTAGGTATCATCCTATCTATTGTTTATTCACTATAATTTGCAGAGAATGAAGGATTCCAATATTATGTTTTTGTCACTTTTGTGTTCTCTATTGACCCCTTTATATTTTGTGAGGTACAAACCAAAACAGTACACTAGTTAAAGTCCCTTTTTATTCATATTATTTAGATTCTGTTTAGATACATTTTTAGGTTAGATTATTTGTTATATTTTATAACTAAAAACATACTTTTGAAGGAATTAGTTTTTCAAAAGATATCGAAACAATTTTGGCCTTAAAGCTGGGGTACCCAAGTCTCAAATGATCAACGTTTTTTCCCCTCAACTGAGTCTTGTAAAATTATAATGTTGTGAATAAATCAGACCACAACATATCATGCATAATTCAATGCAATGGGTTCATTAAGCACTTTTTCAGACACACGGCGTTTCGCATGGCACTATTATTTCACTCCATACATATTGGTGATAAGCAACAACTGTTGCCACAGCTGCCCTGGGGCACACTGACAGAAGCAAGGCTACCAGTACGTGCCATTAGCCCCTTCCAATCACCACCAACCATTCACACACACACCAGACTCATAATAGGCAATATGGGTGAAGTGTCTTGCCTAAGGACACTCACAGTTTGACACTTTAAAGCCAGAACTGCCCCATTGTGGCACCTGATGTTCTCAGAGGCCTGCCCTGCTAAGCTCCAGAGGTCTGACGGGATCTGGCTTTCACATGCAGGTGGCGCCATGATTGTAAGGAACTATTTGGACTTTTCTGTTTGAAAAGCTGATCTAATGATTTGACAAAGCCCATAAATAAATGCAAGTAGAAAAAATAGAATCACTCTTGAGATTGAGCAACGGATTTTAGTTTCTTTTTGTGGATTGAAAGTGGGTTACACCAGCTTCAAAACATTTACTAAATGAAGTATTCAACGGTACACTATTTTAGCTTTGCGTGGGACCTTTGATGCTTTGTCTTCTAGTTCGACGTTCTGCCTCTTGTCCACCGCTCTGAAGCTGCCTGTATAATGATTCTAACATATGGAGAGCCTCATCACTCTTCTCTTTTCACACACGACCCTTCTGTCCGTCAGACTAACAGATACAATAGGGCAGTGACCCGCCCCCCTCCCCCCGCGCACACACACACAAAGCCCGACATGCTCCTCCACTTTGGGTCTAATTGTCCCAGTGTTCACTAACAGCAGCAGTCACACCTCCTGCTCCTCCCTCAAGTTTATGTCAGTATGTTTCTACATGTCTCCGGGGGCCACTGCAATAGTCGCTGCTTTCACATGCAGAGAAACATCCCAATCGCCGCAGTTAATTGACTTCATAACTAGTCTACCTACTATAAAACGGCCACATTCATTCATCTCGAACCCTTTCTATGCGTGTATATTTCTTACGAGTTACAAATTCGATTCCAATACTGTGAAATAGACTTGATACCAAATTAGATAACGCGATGATAGGATTTAAAAATGTTTTATTGGACAAGAGCTGCATGAGCTCCCACTGAAAGATCTCAGCTCCTGTGGACTCACCACCTGCAGGAGGATCAGTGAGGGGCTGGTGCTCTGTGGACTGGGTGGCATCTCTGGCCACCCCCCCGACCCAGAAATGGATTAAGGGGAAGAAAATGGATGGATGGATGGAAGAGCTGCATGCATTTTTAACACACATAACAATACAACAGAATAGTATAACCTTGTGTTGTCAGAAAACCTCACATATGTTTTTGTTCTTGATTTTTTTTGTATTACTTTTTGATGAGTATTTAGTTTCTATACAAGTTTTGTCATCAATTAATTTCAGATTGTTGGTACTTTTGACAAGCCTAGGGTATACGCTTTGAGCTGTCACTTGTCACCTTAGCATCCATCAAACATTTCCTTATATGTGGTATGTTAATCTAAAGGTCCTGGTGAATTCCATGATGGCTACTAAGATCTATGTCTTCTCTGTATGTCCCATCCATATGCAAACGCCACACTATCAGTTATTCAGACAGTATTCTTACCGCCATTTTTCAACCAGTCCTATACACGCTATAAGCATCCTATAGTGGGATGCCTTATAAACTTGTGTCTGGTTTGTAACAGATGAGCTCTTGCCGGGCCTGGTTTATCATAGGCACTGTGACAAATGCCCTGCGCTGCCTGCTGAGTTAGATGGAGAAAGGAAGGCAGAACGTGTCCCTGCATTTCAGTGTAAAGACAAACAGACAGGAGAGTGATGGAGAGGCGTCACCAGAGGCCGACAGGGATTTCAACATTTGGGGTTTGGTTTTAGAAGAGTCTACAGCAGATTACATGTACTTGACAAAAGACAATAACTGTTTCAAAAATTACACTGGGTAACAAAAAAATATTTTTTGAAAATAGTCCAGGGTTTTCCAGCTGAATTAGACTAATTTTGATGCTCCGAGTCCGAAATTGACCTTGGTTTTGCTCAATCAGGTCAGGATTTTTTGCTAGAGAAATATTTTTTTAAATCGATTTTGCGTAAAAAGCAAATTTCTGTGGATCATCAGCTGAGAAACCCTTGACGTTTTTTCCGTTTTCCTCAAGAAATAAAAGTCAACGTATCCAAAGTCATTCAGTTTTTATTTACTCCATCAAATTTGATAAGCAGAATTCATAATAACATAGACGTACATAATCCGTAACACTATGGCTGCATCTCAAAAAGTTGACCTGATAGAGCAAAATGCATGTGATATTCGGACTCAGAACACCAACATTATTGAGAAATCCCTGACCATTTTTTGGCTGTCAACTTGTGTTATCAGTTATTGTATTTGTTTTTTTTCACGCAGGTATGATTAATTAAACTGTATAATTTAACACTTGTGAATTATTATTACAAAAACACTTGCTAACCTCCATGCCTTCTCCTGTCTGCTATAAAGCTGTGTATTTCAAATAGAATCTATTACAGGGGGGCGCTGTGAGTTCTTACCCACTAATATTATCCCTTGTATAATACTCAAGTGTTTTTGAGAAATGCTGTGGTCTCTCCCCGGCAGAACTTGATGGCCTTTTTGGTCTGCTGTGCAAGGCTCCTCCCATCAGCTTAATGATTTTAGACTTGCTTCCTTATTACGCTAAAGCTAGAGATTTTTTACTTGCTACTTTATTATGTTAAGATTGTAATTTATTTTAGGATAGAGTTATTGTTTATTTATCTTGTACTGTGCGCTCCTTATCCCCTCCCTAGATCAAGGCTCCTGTGGACTCACCACCTACAGGAGGATCAGTGAGGGGCTGGTGCTCTGTGTTTGTGGTGCAGCTCTGACTGCCACCACCCAACCCAGAAATTGATTAAGGGGAAGAAAAGGGATGGATGGATGGACTTGATCCAACCATTTGAATAATAATATGTTTGCTTCTGAAGGATATCATCTTTGACATAACTACATAACATACTTAATAATAAGGCATCGGTTTTATATTTCGCTTTTTATATAGCACTCAAAGAGTCTTCACATGGCATCATTCATTGTTTGGTGGTTTTCTTTTTGATCTGGTTGGTGATGGTCATCCCTCAGACTTTACAGCTGCTCCACTGACTTATAGATAACAGTACATTAACCCTTTAATGTTCACTCCTTTTCGAAAGCAATGTCATTTTTGTAGGACCCTAATAACACACATTTTTCACCTTGTACTTTTTTTTTATATATAGGTTTTTACCAAATGGTTGAGATGCAGCTTGATGTTAAAAGTGCATAAAACCAAGTGATGCCCCAATGAGGTAGATTTGAGTTCAAGTAGATACAGTGACTCAAAAAGTGATCCCCCAATTAGTTGAAGAAACCATTAAAGGATTAAGATGTGTGGATCTCCCTCCCTTGAGTTTTGTAAATGGTTTGAATGCTTTGCTCTCTCTCTTGTCTTAGGAAGCAGAGGAGTACGCCGAGCTGCCTGTGCGACACAATGAGGACCAGCTTAACAGTGCATTGGCTCAGCAGCTCCCCCTGCAGGTGAACCCGCACTCGTTCGACAGCGCTCACACCAAAACTCACCTCCTGCTCCAGGCCCACTTCAGCCGGGCGGCCCTCCCCTGCAGCGACTACGGCACCGACACCAAGACCGTGCTGGACAACGCCATCCGCATCTGCCAGGTCCACCATTATCTTTTTTTTATTTTTTTAATATACTTTTTATCATTATTGTGAAAGATAGTTGACAGTATTCCTGCATTCAGGTCATAGTCAAGACCTAGCCACACAAAAATAATATTGATAAATAAATAAGAAATAAAATAGACCACTTTTATCAATTATTATGTAAATGTAGCTGCGTAGTCAGAGTGGAGCAGTTTGACCATTTGCTGCCCTTCAACTTTTATTTGTCTTGTTTTATTACAGTCGAACCAATAATACTGTACATGGACAGTCATTATATATCAAAGGGCTGTGTACAAAAAGGACAAAAACATGAATAAGTTGTTATAAACATGTCGATAAACGGTAGCAGCAGCGCCTTCAGAAGTGGCCACAGCACCGAGCCTTAAGACGGTCTCTCTTCTCTTTTCTGAAAGCGTAAAATCACAAGCACATGTGGACAATGGCTTACAGACACGCTGCCGAGTTCAAACAAAAACTAAACAAACTCGCAAACAATTTACCCTGTTCACACATTAGCGCCTAACGGGGGGGAAAAGCGCCCAGAAGACAAAGAAGCCATTTATAACGCTTAAATACCAGAGGTGTGGGGAAATATAAAATCCTATCACATGTGGGAAAATGAACAGCTGAAATGAATGGAACAAGTGGTTTCATCTGACCCTTTAAAAGATGTGTTATTTATGGAGTGGATAGGCAGGTTAAATCCACAAATCACAAACGAGTGCTCGACATTCCTCCAACCTGAAGCTGCCTACCAAGATGTGTTCAATTTTACGCTCTGCGGGAAGAACAAACGCTCTATTGGCTTAAGTTAAGGAATTATAACTATATCTAGGGTGGTGGCGTGGGTAAATCCTTTAGTTATTCCTGAATATTGATATGAATTTAAGTGTTGTCGCTTTGTGGAACCAGCCAAAAGTCCACATGCAGAGATACAGAGATACTGTTTGGGAGAATGCCATTTCAGCCTGCTATTTTTTTGTCATGGCACTGAAGAGAGTATAGTATGTCTCAAAACTGTTTGTGCGCTTGAGTGGGCGACATTCTTTTTTTGACTTTTCATTTAAAGTTGCACAATGTGAAATGTGCAGCTATCGAATGCAACATATGTATTTCAACAAAGAATGTTCTATCATACATATATATTAAGTTATTCATATGCAATCATTCAGTTCCGTTTCAGTTGTATCCATTTATTTCAGACATGTTTTACTATTTCAGGCTGAAAAGGGTAAAAATAAGGTCTGAAAAAGGAAGAGGCAGTAGCTAAAGCTTATTTACGCCTATTCTTTAGTATATATTCAACTTAAATTCAGCGTATTTTCCACTTTCCAAAAGTGACATACTATAATGTTTTCTGTTACTTAAAATGTAGGTTGGTCACCAGTCACAGGAATATCAAACAATTGTGACATCACTCAACAGAAAGATTGTGTGTATAGCCCCATCTAAAATTAAACAGTAGTTGAGTTTTGTATAGATAAAAGGACCTTTATTCATAAACTTTCTGTCTGTCTGGAGCAAGCCCTTATGTAAGGCTGATCCAAATATACACCCTTTAAATATACATCATTTAAATTACTTTGTGAATCCCACTTTCATCAACTTGCCTTTTTGAAATCCATGTCCTTATAATAGGATCATCTGTGTTTGACTTGTGTACATGGTTGTGTGTTTTATTGGGGCTGGTGCGAAGAGCATTGGGTGCAGCTCTGACCCCACCCCCCAACCCCCCAACCAAGAAATGAATTCATAAAGGGGAAGATAATGAATGAATGATTTTTTTTGTATTAATAATCTGTTCTGTGTAGGTTTGTAGCACTTGGATTAGATGCTAACAAAAAAGTGTATTATTTTTGTTTATTATTTTTGTTTGTGGAATTGATATTAATTAATCAACAAAGCAAGAAACAACCTCCCTCCCTATAACCAGGGGAGGAAAGTTAACTCATCTTTGTGTGTGTGTGTGTGTGTGTGTGTGTGTGTGCGTGCGTGCGTCCCACCACTTGAGTTGTATTTAACATCCTGTGTGTAATTGCGTTTTAGGCCATGTTGGACGTGTGTGCGAATGAGGGCTGGCTGGTGGCGTCTCTGTGCGTGTGTCAGCTGGTGCAGATGGTGGTCCAGGGGCGATGGACCCACGACTCGTCTCTCCTCACACTGCCCCACATCGAGAAGCACCACCTCTACCTCTTCAGGTGAGACATGGGGGTTCGATCGTTCATTTGTTTATCCGCATCACTTTTGGCCATTGCCTTGAATATCATGTCTTGTGTAGTAATGAGTGGGGCTGAGCAATGAATAGCAATCAAAACAGTGTTCAATGTTTACAAGAGGAATTGTCTTAATAATGTTATGTGCAGGTTTGAAATAAATACATTGATTTATTGATTTTTATGGTTGCAATTAGAGTTCTGAATAAAACAAAAAAGGGGTGAGAAAGAAATAGTGTGAATTTTGGATTGTATTCTATTGTGTTCGAGATTTGTCACTGGAACAAGGAATTATTTTAGTTGTCGGGCAGAACCATCATTCTCTTATTCCAAATCCAATCTTTTTCATGATTTTTACAAGCCAAAAATACAAGCTAACGCAGGTCTGACAGTAAGAATGTTTGTGAGAATTTTTTTTTTTTTTTAAACATATAGTTAATCTTATATTTCCTCTAGAACAACTACTGTACCATTCCTTCTCATTTTCTGCTTTGTGATATAGGAAATGGTCAAACAGGAAGGGTTCATCTGACCGAGGCGGCTTCACTGGACCAATCGAAGGCCTCCCAGAGCTGATGGAAGTCTGCGGAGGAAGAGAAAGTGTTTTTGCATCAATTCTTGGTCAAGAGTTTCAACACAGTCAAATCAACCAGGTGAGTTCTATCTTCATTTTGCATTTGTTATTATTTTGTATTTGCTGTAGATGGATTCACATGTCCATTTTGTGAACACTTGATTTTAATGGCGGAAAAACAATTTGTCAGGTCATTTGGATCAAAACGCGATACAGATTTGGACTTTTTATGTTTTGCTTGGAGCCGGTCCTGTCCCCCTGGTCTTCTATTACGGCTGTGTTGATGGGTTTTCGGCTGTGGTGGAAGTGCTAATTGCTGCAGTAATGAGAGTGTCCGGGGCCTTGTGTGTTCACCCAATCACACAAACCCCCTCCCCCTTCTATCGCCCCCCGGCCCCCTTCCTCCACCGCGTGTGCTGCCGGCTCTAATTAAATGATTAGATGCTCCGCGGCGTCCCGGTCTCTCCACGCGGACCTCGGTAATCTGTTCATAAATAGCTTTTCCCGGTGATTCAGAGCAAGTGTGCGGCCTCCACATGGCCGGGCTAATGATCCACCTGTGTAGGTGCGTTGTAACACGCGTTTTATGGCAGAAGAGGACCTTTTCACGGTAATGCCTTATGACTTCCGGTATCTGCTCAAACGGATCGATTTTCTACTTGTCTGTAAGGAATTGGTTTGAGTTTAGCTGAAATGATGAAATGTATTTGAGATAGCAATGGCCTATTGTGAAGATTTTCCTTCATAGTGAGGAAAATGACCAAGATTTAGAAGTCTGCGATTGTTTTTCTGCAGACAGGTGTTTTATTGTTCCTACAGAGCATCAATGACACGACCAGAGTTTCCACAGCGCTCACATGGTTTTATACCCAGACAAAATGAGGACGCTTCTCTCAGCATCGAAGATAGATAAGTTTACTTTGTCTTTCAGATAAAAGCAAGTAAAAAAACATCTGCAGACTGTCGTAATGACCATCTCACTTTTAACGGCAGGTGCCTCAGTTTGGGCGAGTGGATAGCACTCTAGCTTCTCAGCAAGAAGGTCCTGGGTTCGAACCCCGGTCGGAACAGGGCCTTTCTGAGTGGAGTTTGCATGTTCTCCACGTGTCTGCGTAGGTTTCCTCTGGGTGCTCCGGTTTCCCCTACCACTAAAAACATGCGCAATAGGTATGAATGTATATGCGTGAGTGAACGGATGGTTTGATTGGGGGCTGATGGTCCAGTGTGTTCGGCGACTCGCTTCCGTCATCACCGTGTGTGGAATGATTGGAACGATATGTGAACTCTAAACATTGTAAAGCGCTTTGGGTGACCTTGGTCTGTAAAATGGGCTATATAAATAAACATTACTCATTTACTTAACATAATTGCACAAAACTTTGCGTAAAAGATCCATATAGCTTTAAATCTGATTTCCATTCATAATCTTAGTGAGAATGGTTTTGCGTAGCCCTCTCCACAGATAAGACCTGTAAGTTAACTTTGGGACTTGTGTGTCTTCAATGTTGTTAAATATATTGTTGCTGTGATCCTTTTCTGAGTCCAAAATAAAGAGAATGGGAAAATGTTACGTTATCAATCCTAAAAGTGGATGGATCATTAAAGAGGTACTACGCACTGAGTCTGTAGATCGGTGGCAGAGATGTTGGGACAGAATGTTGCGCTTGTGTCCAGGCTTGGTCGTTCTTGAGCCACCTCCCCGTGCTGGACGTGACGATGAGCGTGAAGGGCTGGTGGGACGGGGGCCGAGAGCAGACGGAGCGGCCCCTGTCTGCAGCCGGGTCAAGGATTGGGAAGGACAGCAGCTGGTGTGAGCTCCATGCTGACCAGGAGTACGTCCTACAAGTGTGTCTGAGGAGAACCAACGCTGGGCAGCAGAGGGTCAGTACTCTTTGAGATTTTTATTTTAGAAACGGAAGCACAATTATCCACAATGGAATGGAATCTTATCTTATCTTATCTCACGTTTCATGCTTTGCTAAAACTAAGGTCCAATCTCCAGTGCATCATGTTTCTACGTCTTAAAATTTTTGTTTTTTGTTTTTGTTTTTTTTATTTTAGAATGATTGACATGACAACAGACATGATAAAAAGGTATATAGGAGGATTTTTTACTTCTGGGTGGATCACGAAGACTATAGGTCCTCCTTATTGCCAATCATTGTGATGATACGTGCTCGTCAAATAAGGCCGGAGAGTTTTGTTCAAAAAGTGGAGAGGGCGGTTCTTTCCTAAAAATTTTGGAACATCGTCCTATATATCTTTAAGTTATGGCAAGCATTTTACTCCTCCAGATGTGCCAACACACCCAAGATAAGATAAGATAGACTTTGTTGATCTCACACAGGAGAAAATATAGTCTGTTCAGGATATAATATGTACAATAAAAGTGGCAATTAAGTAGTGCAGTTTTTTTTTTTTTTTGTCCTAGTGCAAGTGACTTAAAGTGACTTATTGTACATTCTGACAGTGGTGGGGATAAAGGCCCTACGGTAATCAATCTTTCTTTCCCTGGAGACTGTTTTTTTTGGTCAAATCATGTTCTGCACACCTGGTTTGAGAAGTTTCTAGGATATCCGTTTGTGCCTTTACACATAGAATCTACATTGTGTATTAATACTTTCATCTTTGCCTTTCTAACCTCTATTATATTGGAGGTGTAATGTTGGTGTTGTCCCCGCAGAGGAAGCAGGACAATAAGGCTCAGGCTCCGCGGTTCCCCAAAGCGAAGGATGAGGGCTGGTTCCTGGTTCTGGGGGAGGTGGACCGACGGGAACTGTTGGCCGTGAAGAGAGTGGGATACGTCAGGAACCGAACCGTTGCCTCTGTGGCTTTTTACACTCCAGAGTCCACTGGCAAGTAAGTGCTTAGATTAGACTCCATGAGAATGCTTAGCTATAGTATATGTATGTGTCGCTGATGCAGATGTGGATAACGAGAAAATAATAAATACATCATTTTTTCCTCAGGCTGAGATTGTGAAATGTATGTTTCATTTAGGTATTCATTTATTTAAGGATAGCCCCATTGAGACAAACTCTTTTTTGAGGGGGTCCTTCTTTATTGTAGAAGAAAAAATAAGATGGCTTACATCAGCAATGCAAAACAAAACAAAAAAATATAACAAGCATAACTCAAACATGAATTGTTAACTATATACAGTATATATATTGCACATCACACACACACACACACACACTGCCACATATCTCAAACAAAAAATGACGTGTGTGTTCAAAAAGTGTAATTGGTGCTGTGTGTTTCGCAGATACATTTACACCCTGTATGTGATGAGTGACAGTTACCTGGGCCTGGATCAACAGTACGACATCCATTTGAAGGTGATTCCTGCGAGCATCTCTGCACAGGTCAACACTGAAGTGAGTGACTCCGTGAGCGGGCTGTCGGTGAGCTGACACCACGGACACTGAACCAAAACACTGACTGATCCTCTTTGTGAAACGTTTACCTTGATCTGTGCTGAATACACACAGAGCGGAACTATGCAATCATCTTTGCCATTCCAGAGTTTTTCTGTGCAAACCAGAAAAGCATTGCCTTATTTTTCTCATCAAATGTGGATGATGTTATTGGGATTTTGTGCTTTTGTAATGTGCCAAAAATATTAAAACATCAGTGAATACAGACATTAATGAAGCCTACTTTAAGGAAGACCTATTGTGCTTTTATTATGATCATTATTCTCGTGACCTATCGTGACCATTTATATCTCCATATTAAGCCAATGATTCAAAACTAGAAAAGTCTGCTTTGAAAATATGGTGAGTCGCCATAGACCTAATCACAACAAAGTGCTGACATAGCAGCAGATGATGGTATCGAGCAGCAGGGGATTTCTTCCTGTGAAAAACATGATGAAAATGTTCTGGTGAAAACGGGGGTCGTCAGAACAATGGCCTCTTGAATGCAGGAGAATACAGATTATGAATCACATGAGTTTGTAAACGAAAAGAGAAAACTATGATGCCATGGTTATAGCACAGAGCTCAGCACAACTTATTGTTGCACAGTTCCTCCCAGAATAAAATGAACAAGGAGTGAAATACCAAGAACAAATTTGCATTTGTGTATTGCACCTTAACATTAACATGTTCAAATTAATATCCTGAACATAGAAGAGTCAATGGGTTTAAGAGCCGGTACGTTGAACAGAAGCTACATAAAAACTGCTGCTTTTAGTCAATTCTTTGACATATTTATGCTAACTTTAGACACATCCACATAAACATAGGCTGCTGCCTCTGCCCATAATGTGATCAATAGGAGCACCATGAATTTACTGCCTTCTTACTCGACATGGATTTAACAGTTATAGCTTTATTGTAGGATTATTTTGGTTTTCTGCCGCTTTAACTATTATGGGAACACTCACTGTTTTGTAAAAAGGGCCCAACAGAGGAATTGAAAAGCATTCACATCATACTAAGATCATCAGCCCCTTTGAATAAACAGGTTAGAGAAAAAACACTTGAAATCTTCTCGTGCTGGTCTCAGATAATGCCCCGTTGTGGACATGGTCCAGGGACAGCAGAAGGCGAACATTACAAAGTGCACCTTTGAATCAAAAACTTGTTTTTACATTGCATTCTCCAGTAGACATTATGTATACAAACTGTACTAGATCATAAAAGCACAATGTATTGTATATTTTCAGACATGTACAGCATTGCTTTTGTGTAATGTTTTGAGCCTTTATTCAAAAATACTGAATTCTATCAATCAGCCAAACGAGTGATGAATCCTTGCAGATGTCGTACTGGCAGGTTTGGACTTTGATACAAGTAAATGTATGCTCTATAACATTTGTTTAAGGAACAAATCTTTGGCACATCCTGAAGCGAAGTCACCCTTTATGAAAAGCTGAAGCTCTTGGTTAATCTATGACTGACATCTTTTAGTTTGAGGAAAGTAATGTTTACAACTGTGACAAACCCTTGTGGACTTGACATATTGTTCAAAGTGTAATTAAATAAATGCATTACTTTAACTGAATGTTGTCTTCTGTTGTTGTTTTTGTTAAGACTGTTTTGAATTTCTAAAGTTTCCGCCGCCAATCTGAATCGTAGTCACGGCTTTACTGGACCATGATCCTGGCTCACATTTGCAAATCCAACTCATTGTTCAAAACCTAAACTGAAAAATAACGAATCAGTTTTCCATTATTACTATTTTGTTGCCACACAGAATACTGCTAAAGATTTAAACCTGAACTGAACAGAGCAGCACTCTCAACTCGGGGAGCGTTTACACTTGTTGGTCTGATTCACTTAAACTGGACCAAAACAGCAGCATTCACACACTTTAATTCAGCCGCTCAGGATCTGGAGCTGCTGCTGTGTCCGAGATCAGTCGTCGTACTCTCGTCTGCGATCCAGGTGGTTAGCCCAACATCCCTATTGACAGGACGGAGACAGGAGGGTTTGGACAGAGGGAGCAGATTGCATGTTTGTGTCAAGTTCCTGATATTAGCATTTTTGTTATAACTAGACCTTGAGTTAAAAAAGACCATGAATTGTGAAACCACTCTAAAAATCGGAAATACTATATAGGAGGTATATAGGAGGATATTCCCAAATGTTAAGAAAAAACTGCCCATTCCACTTTTTGAACAAAACTGATATTATTCTTATTTGACGAGCACGTATCACCAGAATGATTGACAATTAGAATGACCAATAGGGTTGATGATCCACCCGGAAGTAGAACATCCTCCTATACCTTTAAATAGACATTGATGTAAAAACTTAGGAAAATAAAGGTTTTTATTGACTTTTAAAAATGCAGACATGTTTTTTGGTGTTTTTTTTTTTTTATGAATAGGCGCCGCTATGTTAACATGTGTAGCCTAGAGTCTTTGTTCTTCTATGATTTTTAGATGTGGGTGGGGATAGGTAGTACGTGAAACAGACATTTGTCAGAGCTCTGAATCCATGAAGACAAGACAACCCAGTGTCAGGATTGGGCCAAATCAATCAATTCTCCACCATAGACGAACTTGGAAATCACCCGTAGCAATATATTCCCCTCCTTTCATTCAATTGCCGCTGAAAAGTCTTGAAATCTGCGATGAGAAAAGCCAGAGCGAGCGTGGCCCAGAGTCATGAATATGCCATCAGCCTGTCTGCGTCTGGACCAATAACGAACCGCGAGGGGCTCTCCGCGCAGCCAATGAGCGCACGCGTCAGCTCTCTGGAGGGGCGGGCCGCTATGGATGTGCTGGTATCTCTCCAAACGCTACTCCAGAAGCGATCTTTGCGGATACCAGGCAAACCAACAGGTTTTAACGCAAGCAAATGTGGAGTAAAGACACATGCATGGATCGCAAGTAAAATTTAGACCTAACATTGCGATATATAGGAACGGATAGACACTTTGCACAATTTGTGAGCATTCTCATCTGCGCCCCGTTTTGTACGAGCACGTAAATTGTGTTTGAGAATGGAATGTTTTTTGCAATAAGAACAGACAGTTTGGGAATATGCGTGCATGCGCTAGACTTCTGGAGTAATATGACCGCTGTTCTTGGACGCATCTGGGCACGCTTCTTCCTGATGAGGATGCTATGAGAAGAGAAGAGGCCAATACTCGCGATCATGAAGGAGAAATCGAAAAACGCAGCGCGAACTCGGAGAGAGAAAGAAAACAGCGAGTTTTACGAACTGGCGAAGCTGCTGCCGCTGCCCTCTGCCATCACCTCCCAACTGGACAAGGCCTCCATCATCCGACTGACCACCAGCTACTTGAAGATGAGGATAGTGTTCCCCGAAGGTACGACTCAGTGTGTTGTCTATGCCACCTGTGCAACATGCATTTATATTAACGCAATTATTACTATTGTTTCAACACGTAACAAATATGCATCGAGGACGTAGTAAAAATAAACGTATATTTTTTTTACTATAATTTTGGATCCATTGTGTTATTATTATGTATCAGGATTCATTTTTATTATGACAAGTTGTGTATTTAATATGTACAGTTGGTAAAAGTTGGTACAGTTGTTTTTTTTAATATTAATCTTGTGTTTTATTCTCCACCCAACTCATTTATAGCACACTGCAGTCGCGTTTTATCTGTGGCTATAGATTTGCATTATTCCTTTATTTTTTTTATAGGCTGACAATGTATTATTTATCAATCAGGTTTCATTCGCGATTATGGTTAAGAATATGTTCAGGTGTTGGTAAATTGCTTCGGATTAGGGATTGTGTGCTCTTGACATATAAACGTGATAAATTAACCATCATATTATAGACCCAAAAAAGATATTCATGTGTATTGTGAATTACCATGTCGCCTGTAAACGTTAGTTCTTACAATAATAGCAAGTAAAATGACAGATTGGGCCTGACGCGCTCACGTCCATGAACACGGCGCGCAGCTCTTGTCAAAGCCACAGTCTATGGCCTGCTGCTTTGGCAAAAAAACAACAAAATTAATTAGTAAATACATTTGATTCATCTTTTCTCCTTGTTTATTTGACGTGTTTTAACTGATGTTAGGCCTGAAAAAAATGTTCTCTATTAAAATGCTTTCACTTAATTTGGAGGAAAGCAAAATCATATATAGCTACAGTATGGTTTGATTTATCCTCTCAGTAAAATAAGCTACAAAACAAAGTAAAACCAAATATATAAATTTAAGGAGATTCGACATGTGCGCGTCCCTCTTTCGCATAATTTAATATTTCTTATGTCGAGTTTATCAAACCGCGGCACTGGGGGAGTGATTGTGATTAAAAGTATAGTATTCATCAGTAGGGCATCTGTAATGACGTTATCACCGTGAGTTTGACGTTGAATTAGTGCACGTGCGTGGACACTTGTAAAGCGGGTGTATAATGCCTCTAAAATAACATTAACATGCCTCCTGGGACCCACTATTGCGATGCATAAATTTACAAATCCTTTCAGGAGACAAATGAGTTCTAATGTGTTCTGTAATCTATAATGTTGTCTGTTTGTGCTTGAAACTGCACCGATTTAGGCCTTTTGAATTTTACACCTGATATAAGCTTTTTTTCTTTATAGGGAATTACTTTATTTTGGCCTATAAGGGCAAAGTCGTTTGACGTGTATATTATTTGAATGCTCTATATTATTACTTTGGCCTGCTTTTTTCTAGCATGAATTTTATGTTTAATTAACAAAGTGCGTTTTTCGTAATAATGAAACACGTTCAATTAAAAACATGGCGAAAATCCAATATAATATCAACTCATTCTGCTCACAATTGTAATTATAATTCCTTGGTATCATTATTACTATGATATTTATAGCTATAAAGCGCAGAACAGGTGTATTAGTATTTTATGTGCATTTCACTTTACTTTCAAATCAAGATAAGCGATGATTTTCCATGCATTTTTATACCATTATTTTTCATTTGCGTTTTTAAACATAATCCCTATTTACACAGACACATAACGAACAAAAACAACACAACAAAACACGTTAGACACATGATTATGTATTTTTTGTGTGTGCAGTTTTTCGTTTTTATTGTTGTTTTTGTTTATTATATATTTATTTGAACGCATATTTTATGAAAATCACACTCACACACATAAAATAGGAACAAATAGTGTCGGCTCTCATGCATAACCACATGACCACATCTGTCCGCTCACTGCACCATAAAAGCCTCTAGTTATAATTTATTTATTTGATTTTGAGCCAATAGCCTGTTCCATCCCGTGTGGACAGAGCCTTTAAATGCGTGAGCTGTTTATCCCTTGTTGCGTTGTGCCTCCTGAGAAATGTCTTCACCCTGACCTCCAGACCCCCCCCCCCCCCTCTTCCCCCCCATCAGCACCTCCTCTGTGCCCCCCAGCTCCGGGTGCTTCTCCTGGGGGCCGCGGCAGGAGCTCAGCCTGTAGCAGATTAGCCGCTGGAGCTCCGAGCTGCGTGACCACTGCAGAGAAGCACGCATTAGTATGATGTGCACGTCTGATCCCTCCCAACATATGGAGCTGTGCATGGTGACAGTACTGAGAAAAAGGAAAAAGGCCTGGTCACATGAGAATGCACATTTTTCATTATTTTCTAATTCGTTATTTATTTTTATTTGAATAGTAGTAATACCTCTAGTAAATATGAATTCTAGTTTTCCATTGTAGTGGCAGTTTGTGAAGAAAAGCAAAAAAAAAGTTATATATTTCAGGGAGGAGTGACATCAGCGTTCCTTTATAGAAATGCAAGATGTTTGTTGGGATTGAGTTCCGTCTTGGTTCAATAAGTTTCATTTTGTCTTGTGTTAAAACGCTTTTTGTGGCTCTTTTGAAAGACCAACAAATGAACCTTCTCCTATAGTCCTCGATACCTTCTGTAACGGATTTGCAATCTTATTTAGATTGCATGAGTACACATTTCACCATTTTTTTAAAGCTCAGAATGTCTGCGGATTCAGTCGTTGCCTTTATTTGTATAATACTGACGTGTGTTCTTGGTTGCGTCACAAAATTGTATCACAACTGTAGCTGGTGAGATGGCGATTATTCAGCCAACTTCAGCTTCAATGTGGACTTTTTAGAGTTGAGAACAGCTTGAATCCAGTAAAACAGTTTTACAATTTGTGTGTGAACTGACATGTGAGGACAGTGATGATCCGGGACATTTAGTAACATTTATGGACAGTGAATATCCCGCGTGTTGGTGAATCGACAATGTCGTGTTGTGATTTAGGGCTATACAAAAAATGATGTAATATAATAATTTTTTTTTTTTTTTCAGTTTATTTGAATAGGGACGATACACATTAATCAACATTACTGTAAAAGTGTCAGTATTATCTAACAGCTAGTCTCCAGCTGTAGTCCCTAGGCAAGGTGTAAAATGTCATCAAAGTGAACTGCAAACATTACAGGTCATCAAAACATATAAATGTAAGCAGCACATCATGAGTTGAAAGATTGAAAGACATGTTTACAGAGACTCTTTCCCAAAAAAAAGAAAAGTGTTTTTTAATGATTATATTAATTGACTGAAGTACAGATAATGGGTGAGCAACTTTCCCTTGTTTTGAATGATCCCTGCACGACTGAGAGCTTACACAAAATTATAGAAATGGTTAAACTTTTTAGCACTCACATTTCAGATTCATCAGGGTGAAGTGTGCTGCCCATGGACACAAAATAACACAACAACCGCAAAATTATTAGCTATAAGTATAGACGGATGGTTGGCCGCCATGAAAACATTTGATTACAGCAGTCTCCCATCGCAGCACGAACCTGGCCCTGTGCTCCTTAGCTTCTGAATAGCTCCAAGATAAAGCTTTATCACAGAAAGAATCCAACAACATATAAAGAACATGAATACAACGTTCATGTAGTTTTGATATTTGTACATTTTTGTGCAAGAGACAGAAAATAGGTCCATGCAGTTGCTAATGATTGTCTATGTTTCAAGATAATGTCTATAACAGCATTCTGCAAATTAAAAGAACTAGAAAAATGGAATAGAAATAACTGTAGGTCACAAAAACTTTAAAAATGAAATGCAAAGAAAGAAAATAGAAATTGTCTGGATTTTGGTTCCATATTAAATCAATACGGCCGTAGGTTCAAAGATAAGATAAGATAAGCTAAGTCATGATTTGAAATGTAATTACACAATATTGTTTTAATTTGAGTTTTCATCTGCATTCTATAGTGTATTATTTGTATTACTTCATTGAATTAATATTATTTCAATAGATTTGAACATGAACCATAACTATGTAGAGAAACCATTAAAATCACACAGTACATGCATGAACCAAGCTGAGAGGTCTAAACGTGGTTTCATAATCCTAAAAAACACAATGTGCTTTTGGAATATGTATTTTCTGGTTAATTGCAGTGTTTTGATTTCCACAAAGGTCATGTATGTATCTAAATTGGTGACGGTTAACTGCATAGTCAGTAAAACATGTTATTACAGTAGAATTGTGGTGTCAGTTTGGAAGCGTTTGCAATTAAGTTAACTGGAAAAAATGTGAATTTGTTCCTGTCCAAAAGCAGCAGTCGACATAAGCCACATGAGTCCATATCAGCGAGACCAGTATAAGGAGTCGAGCTGCGATAAGTTAGGTTATCTTTATGGGAAAAAAAATGTTTTGCTAAACTGTGCAAGAATATTTTAACCCCAGCACTATACAGAATCTATTGCCATTTTAAGTTTGTCAATACTATGTCCAGGCTCCTCTCTCCACAAACATGACCCGGGATTACAACTGAGGGATTTTATATTTTATTTTTGTTATCTTTTTTTGAATGTATTGTGATAATTTATCTTTTTTTGTTCAGCACTTTGAGTTGCCTTGTGTATGAATTGTGCTATACAAAAAAACTTGCCTTGCCTTGCATATGTCTCACTGTGGCTCCCCCCGAAGTTCTTTTTCCCTCCCCCACTGGGTTTTTTGAGGTTTTTCTTATTCTTGGACATTGGTTAACACAGCAACCTACAGTATAACTCTTGGGTGTTTTATTGTTGTATTTATTCTGTATTCTCATCTATTTGTAATTTTCAAATCTTCTCATAATTCTTGATACCTTTCGAGACGACTGCTGTAGAGATTTTTGGGCGTTACCAAAAAAATTTGATTATGATTTGATTGTGCACGGTGGTGAAAAGGCCCAGTGATCAACGGCCCCGGCTGCTCTGGTCCGTCCTGTCACTGCTCCGTCAGACCCTCGTCTCCCACATTTCTCACATGGTTTGTTGGTGTCGCGCTGTCACGGCGATGGTTTTACAAGTGTGTGGAGGCCCAGGCATCTGCACTGCAAAACACATCTTCACACTATTACATATAGATCATGGAGATGTGTTGTTTTTAAGGTTCTGCTGACAAATTGACTATTGACAGAACTTTAAACATGAGGAGATTTGCTTGTTTGTCACTCATATTTTGGTCAAAACTCATCAAAACCTCCTTTTTTGAAATGCCTCCAACATTACAATTTAATAAAGGTTTGACACAGCCCTTCTCACATTCTCTCCTTTGGTCGGAACACGTTCAATAACACACTAACTTGAACACCACTTGGGGGCGATTTACATAAGCGCACAAAGCAAGTGAAGAGCTCTTCATGTTGATAGGATTTTTGTCTGACTTTTTTGTGGGGCTGGTTTTATTTACGGACTTGTCAGAGGCGAGACCTTTGGACTCCTGCCGCATGCTCTTCCATTACACGAAACCCACACCACAAATCTCTGCATGGATCCACAAACACCCAACTTCAAATTAAACTTGATGAGTCAATTACAAACCTGTAAGGCTGAAACTATCGCTGTAATATCCTCCATTTTAACAACCATTTAAAATTTGCTGAGTAAATAATGGTTACAAGTATCACTCAGTTATCCTTGAGTTACTTTGAATGTAAAATTAATATGGTAAAAAAAAGAAAATGGAGATTTCCGACTGAATTTGAAACGGTTCAGTGGCATAATGTTGACTGTTGCATCGGCTTCTGAAGTGTGTTGAGGCGCAGAGAGGACTCCACCAAACTCAGACTAAAACAAAAGAAAATGGTTAGTAAAAAGTTAGGTTTGGTAACACGCTCAATTATAGTGTTGTCTGAAATAGATTGGGGGAGTTTTGGTATAAATCACAAATAAAATAAAATACAAATCTAAATCTGGCATGAAGAAAAAACAAGAATAACATCTCTCTCTTTGCCATAATGAGTAGAACAAACTCTGACTTTAGTGCAATAAAAAAGAATAAAATCTCTACCTTTGGCATTATAAGAAACAAGTAAACTACTGTGCAAAGATCATTCACTAAAACACGTTTGGACAGTGTATAGATACTGATACATTCTCCAAATGCACAATCTGTGGGCTCTTTTGTTTTAATACTCTGTTTCATAACTTGTAGAGCATATGTTTTCCTCTTTATAGCCACCATTTGTGAAAAGCGTCCGCTGAAAACTGCCGTGCACCTGTCTGTTTGTGGCACGTCACTGTAAACGTCACACGCCATCATCGTACGAGCTGATAATGGAGCAAGCAACAGATGTTTGTTGATTTCTGCAAAAAAACATCTGCAGAATTCACCAGGCCTGGTCAGTGATGTATTCGAGAGCTGGTAAATGGTATTCTTTGCATTTCTCAAAACAAAAAGTCAGCACTAAACATGGGGAAGTATGATTATTTTATGCAGAAAAATGATTAAATACAGATTGAAAAAAATTGCGTTTAGCTGTGCATACAACTGAAGGATTGTATCTTCACTCTTTTTAATGTACTGTGATCTTTTTATGATTTCTTAATGCTTTTTTTGGATTTGACTGTTGTTTTGTTAAGCACTCTGAGTTGTTTATTAACTGTGCTATACAACTAAACTTGCCTTTCCAAATATGTGTTTTAATAGGTATTTCTATGCATTTTACCATTGCTTTAATATTGGATATCATCATACATTCTGAGACAAAGAAAGCGTTCAAAGTCTAGCCTATACTTGAATTGACAATGCCACCACGTAAAGATAAACAGGTCTATTGTAGCCTCTAATCCTACTCGACTATTTGGCTTTGCGCTGAAATCTCAACAACAAAGTGCATGAAATGAGAAATGTCCCTGTAGTGTTAATGACTCTGTGTGCAGCTAATGGGATTTCTGTGGCTTTATTTCTGCTCTTCCACACTTTCTCAGCTCTTTTCTGCGCCGTCCGTGGCTATAATCATATTAATGAGTTTATTAAGTGGCGGCTTTTGTCCCGAAGCGCTGCGCTCTGTGTGTGTGTTTGTGTGGGGATGTGTGTGTGTGAGTGAGTGTGTTTGTGTGTGTGTGTGTGTGTGTGTATTGGGCCTCTGGACTTGGTGGGCCGCTCTGATCCCCTCACGCCGAATGTTTGCTCTTCTGCTCTGGATTTGCATCTCAATGTGTCGCGCTGGGCTCAGGCAGACTCGCTGTTTGCACTCTTTTTTTTGTCCCTCCGTCCATCGTTCCATCCATCTGTCTATCCATCTATCTAACTTTCTAACTACTGTATCTGTGTGTGGTTAAGTCTTATTTACAAGACGGAGTTATACGAGTCTATGTGCAGTTGTGTGGGAAGATTACATCCGGTGTGCCACAGGGGTCCATTCTTGGCTCATTCTTGTTTGCTATTTGTAATTGGCTCAGATTTTGATGCACGAAAACATCTCTTAAGTATACAGACTATCCATAGCATGATTATCTGTATAATCTCATGATTTAAGTCCATGATAAGCACTGGGTGTCTGTATCCGCCATATAGAAGGCCTATTTTCTCAGAGAAAACCCCCCAGATCTGCTCTTTTTGAGCAAATTACTATTATGTTCTTTCCCAAAGCTTGTTCAGTGCAATGCTCCAACCAGATTTAGCTTTTTTGTGGTTTTTATTGTTTTCTGTTTTATAGCTTGTAACTTGCGAGTGACTCAGGTGAAGAAGGTTTTAAAACTACACATAAGTCACACGAGGGACAGTGCCTATACATAATGACAGTGTGAGAGTCAGAGTCCGGCCATTTGCCCACACTGCTCTTTCCTTTATAACGTTATTTTTGTAAAATATTTTTGTAAATATTTATTTCGCTCCACTTGGGAACTAAATAAAGTGTACTGCACTGTGACTAATTTTGAATGTCCAAAATTTAATCTGAACCTTTTTTTCATTTTTGGCTTCCCTTGGTAAACAACACCCTTGGGTCCAAACAATACGCCAACCCTTCCTACTGTGTTTAAATGCCGGGTCATTGCGGCATTTAAACACACTTTGTTGTCTGGCTCGAATGATTGGTTCTTTATGACATGTGCCTTGATCTACCTTTCCTTTTGATATATCTCGCCCTCTCTATATGTACAACCAACTAAATACATATACAATATATTAGATAAGAGAAGCTTTATATGTCCCTTTGGGGAATGTCAGTATTGCATCACACAATATAGAGCAGGGGTCTCCAACCTATAGTTTGGGAGCCACCAGTAGCTCACCACCCCTTTTAAGGCCCCCCCTAAAAGGATTCATGAGTTTAAAACATGTTGCCATTTCCATTTTAAATCATTTCATATCGCTATAAATGTTTACCTTATTTGGGGAAAAAATGCAAGATTAAACTGTTTAAATCAATGTTTCATGGTTGTATGCCACAAATTCATTATCTCCACACAAGGGAGTAGCTCTCTGCCATTTCTGTCTTGTAGCTCTCCAGTGAAAAAAGGTTGGAGACCCCTGACATATAGCATTGGAAAACAAAGCAATAAGTCAAAGTAAATGCATAACAGAAAAGTGTTTGTTCTAACGCGCTGTGTTTGCCATCATTAGTCTACAGCAATTACAATACCACATATCTCTAAATAAAGATGTGATTTTGTCTCTGTTTGTACGGGTTATGGTTGATCAAGCTGATTTTACTTCATCAATCATCAAAACTTCTTTAAATTGTTAATTTGGAGTAATGTTTTTGTATCCGTCACTTTGTCTAAGTCCATGTATTCAAGTTGGTATAATAACTAAATAAGCTAAGGCAGTGTATCCCAACCTTTTTGATCCCTGTCTGTCTGTAGTTCTGTCAAATCCCTCTCAGTCATGGTCTCCTCCGCCGTGCCTCTCCGTCCTTCTCCCTTGCCCCGCACACAGGCGCTGGTGCATTGCTGGCGTCTGGTTATTTTTGGCTGCAGACTTGACACGTTGTCGGACATGGGTGCGTTTGGCTCCGGCGCTGAGGATGTGACAAACCAGTTGGCTCGAGTCGCTGTGGCAAAGCAGCTCTTCACAAACAGCTGCTGACGTGAAATACAAGGCGCAGTAGTTTAACACGAGCTACTGTCATCCGTATTGTGCTCGGTGCTAAGTCATTCTTCGTGTTTATAGGCAGTATTTTTTTTTAACTATCTAAGTAATGAGTAGGAGCGAATAACACTGTAGCCTTCAAAGTCATGTCATCCCAAATACAATACAATTTAACTGGAAACGATATTTATATGTTTATATGTCCAAACTATTGGGCTTAATGTGTCATTAGCTTACCCAAATTTAGTTTGAGTCGGTGTATTCCACTTTTTGGTTCAACATTTTTGTTCCACTATATATTTGCTTTTCTGGATGGGGCAGTGTGTAATGATGTAGGAGGAGCTGTACATAAACCAGCTTTTGTAGCTAGTCACACTCACAATTACCTTAACTTATTGGATACATTTTGGTGGTAAGTGAAACCAGAGGAGACACGGGGAGAACAGGCAAAGTCCACACAGAAAGTTCCTATCTGCAGGTGGAATCGAACCCAGGACCTTTTTGTTGTGAAGTAACCACTGCCAACCACTGCGTTCTTACCTCTTAAATCTACCCATACTCCTACGCATGACCCCCTCCTCCTTTTCAATGTCGGTACAGATATATAACAAAAGTCAAACTGCAGCTCTACTAACTCAGGAATAGGAAATTGGAGCGATAAATAGATGCTATAAGAAAGCATGTCCCACAGCTTTTGTTTTGAGGTTGGCCTAAAGAGAAAGGACATCTCCTTGCAATGTGCCAACTGTTCAATGAAACACTTCTAAAAATGATGGATTGATTTACCTTGTTATACCCCCTGTTTGGTGTTTTTTCTGCAGGTCTGGGGGAGTCATGGGGCCACGTCAGCCGCTCTTTAGATGGAGTCAGCCAAGAACTAGGCTCTCATCTTCTGCAGGTAACAGTTCCTCAATCTATAATAAAAATGGCAAGATGTAAGTTCTGCATTGATGGTTTTAGAGATGGACCTGTGTTGAGATAGAAGTATGGATCATATGACCGTTATGGAAATCACACTCAACCAATGCTCGAAAGATAGATATTTTATTGATCCCTATAGGAGAAATTCAGGTGTCCAGCAGCAGAAACACATACGTACATAACTTATAAACTACAAATACAGATGATATGTTATTTGATGTTAATTTCAAGAAGTTGTGATACTAGTCCAAGCCAAATATTTATCTTTTCTAATATCTGCGGCCATCCCATTGTCCCATCTCAAGTTGATACTGGCTGTTGCACTAAGATCAATATTAATTTAGTTTTGAGAACCCATTTCTTTCACACTTATTGATAGGTCGACTTCTGTTTCTCATTATGCATTTAGCAATACTTTGCCTTTATATTGTCTTGTTTCAATGAAAAAAATAAGCCCAATGAAAAATTTAGCCCATTTGCTCTAATTTGGCAAAATGTGTGTTCATTTGAGCACATTCTGACTTGCCTATAGGACATGCAAAATAATCTTGTTTTAGAAATGTATAAGAAATGCCTCCCTTAGACTGAGAAAATTACGCAACAGTTCTTGAATAAAAGACTAAATGACTTCGTCCCAGTCATACTGTAATGTATGCAAATTAAACAAAAAAACACTCAAGAAATTAGTACCTCATATTTTATAATTTTTTTGCAATGTATATTCACATTGTGCTATTTGATTCCACCTTCTTATTAAATCTGAAACCGGTTCCGTCTGGACAGTGAGAATACCACTATTTGGGGAATTCTGCAGCTGTTATGCATCATATATTTCACTCCTATCGACTTTATTTACCTCTTTCCAAATCATCGTTGCCCATTCCCACCTATAGCCATGTGATTATTATGGGCTGGATGCCATTGTTTGTGGATCGCCCGGGCGTGTGGCAGGGAGAGAAAGAGAGAGAGACACCTCCTGCTGTCGTCCTCTTCCTCAGCTGAAACAGGCAAATAAGACCAACGCATTCCTGGTCACGCACGCTCTGCCTCTCCCCCTTCCACACACACACACACACACACACACACACAGACCGCCACACAAAAGACCCCACTCTCCAGCCTTTAAAGCACACAGACACATGTTACCGCTGATGGTCACTGCTACAGGAGAAAACATCCGGCCTAATGAGGTTTGTTTAAATGAGCGTGTGGCACAGATGTGTCTCTAAATGTGACTTTAATGCCTTACGGGGAACGCACAAACAAGACAAGCATGTTTTTCTACATCTAAAATAGTCTCTTGTTTTGGTAGTGCCATGGGAATAAAGTCCTGACAGGGTGCAACTGATGCAAATGTTTACTGATGCAAGCATTTATCAGCGTCGTATGATATCTACTGTAGTCAGTCCAGTCTTCAGAGCCTCCTCTCAAGCTTAGCATTGGTCTAAAAGTGTTTCCAATACGTTTGAATCCAATATGTTTGTGTGTGTTTTTGTCTTTTTTAACATGTGTAAAAACAAACGCATTTATATCAACAATAAATTAAGTTGAGCTTTTTTATTTTGTTGCAGACTTTAGACGGCTTCATCTTTGTCGTTGCTCCAGATGGAAAAATCATGTACATTTCTGAAACTGCGTCCGTGCATTTAGGCCTCTCGCAGGTGAGTCAACTGATAAATATGTATTAGAATAATACATTGTTTTGGGGTGATTCTATCTTTGAGAAGGATTTTGAACCTTTTACTGCACTTGTTTATAATATGTCTAAAGATGAAATGTCTGCTCCTATTATAACTATAAAGTAACTAATCGAGAATGTAGAATCTCTTGACCATTAAATGCAATTAAAGTTCAGTTTGCAACAAGACACAATGTGAGTGAGGAGAACAATTAACACAAAATTAATTAAAAAATAAATCCAGGTTGTTATACAGGTTATCAAAGGTTAAGGGCCACAAGATTTCTGCTATTTCAAAGTTGCAATATCTTTCAATAGATGACAATACCAATAATCTATGATATGTACAGTATGTTGGGCAGTACGAGAATGTCCTTCTCTCACCTATGTAAATGTCAGCATTATTGGTATAGCACATTTATAACAAAACTTGCTGCTCAAAGTGCTTCAAATGCACAAAAGAAAAAAGGGAACAGCATGAAATACACTTTTGTTCATGAGTTTTGGGTAATAACCGGATAAGTGGCTGAACCCCTTTTGGCACTAATCCTTGTCTTGACATTATGCTATTTAAACAGTAAAAATTATTAATATGGACATTATTAAGACATATTTTTAGCTGCAGAATAATTTAGAAAGTAATTAACATTGTAATACCACTTACATGTTTGCAATTTAATTTATTTGAATTGAAATGAGTATAAAGACTCCTAATTAATGCTGAGAATGCTGTAGAATCTCAGTTTTTTTGCGCTCTTTGGATAAATAAAATACTTAATCCGTTTAAATCAAAGTCACAGATGAAAGAAGCCCAATACTCGAAGCCTGATTCATTTTGGACGTCTCAAATGTAAGTTGTTCCTTTTCTGGAACCTCTGTGGGCCGTTCCGTTGTTTAAACATGTGTGAAAAACTGAACCTGTTAACATTTATGGACATTTATGGTCATGTTTTTGGCACCACAAAAAGAAAAAAAGAAACGCAAAATTAAGCTGCAGCAGTCAAAGTGAGGGAATAAGCCATGGCTTATAGTCTGGAAATTTATGATAAACTGTTTGATTCTCTGATCTGTGTTTGTGAATCCAACATATTGTAAAGTCCTCAGAGTATACTACTGTTGTGATTAAGGGATATACAAAAATAACTGAATTGAAATGTATGGAACCAGAGAATAAACTTGCACATAACCCTGATTCACGATTTGGACATTCTCACACCGGATATATTCTCGATGAGGCAGATCTGTTCAAATATTGCCCTGGCTTTCTCCTAATGACATCAACAACTTCAGCTGCAGAAAGGACTGAGCAGACAGCTGGTGAATAGTGTCTTTTTTGCAGGTAGAGTTAACTGGAAACAGCATTTATGAATACGTCCACCCCGCGGACCACGACGAGATGACGGCCGTGCTCACCGCTCACCAGCCCTACCACTCGCACTTTGTCCAAGGTGTGAGAAGCATGAGGCCTTTTTTGTTTTGTGGTTCCATTTTAACTCTCTTTGGTTTTCCAGAGTACGAGATGGAGCGGTCCTTCTTCCTCCGAATGAAATGTGTCTTAGCCAAAAGAAACGCAGGGCTCACTTGTGGAGGCTACAAGGTGAGAATCTGCACCTGAACCCTACTATAGAAACAGAATTGTGATTTTGTCTGCTGTAGTTACATGTGTAGCCTCAGAGTTGATATGAAATAACTCAAAAAAATAAATCATGCTCACCTTCCTGTTTACAGTATATCACAACAAAGTGCCGACACAACAGCAGGTCATGATGCAGGAGAAAAAACTGTACAAATACTTTTGTTTTTAGAAAGACCTGTCTCTCTCTTACAATGTCTGGGATTCACATTTTGTCTGTTTCCTCTAAAAAATAATTGTGTGTCTCAAGTAATTTTATTATTGTATGTCTTCCCAGCTTGATCATTGAACCCTGCAGCTTTTATAGCGATGCAGCTAATATGTGTATTTTTTTCGTGATATAGTCAGAGCAGATTTCATGAACTTATTTTCAAAATAGATTGGTACCAGCATGGAACTGAGCATCAGTAAATCATGCTGTGACCATTTTAAACAGTTGTCTTTCTGCATCTGCGTCTATCCAACATGAAAAGTGCGGCTTATCTTCAAGTGCGGCTTTTATGTGGACAAAATTACCTTTCTTTTAAGTGTCACTGGTGTGGCTTGTATAAGATATGCCTAATAGTCCAGAAATGACAGTAATTGGTTTTTGGTTGTGTTTGTGTGTACTCACTACAGCTGTAGTCAGTGTTTGATGTCATGTTCCAGGTGATCCACTGCAGTGGGTACCTGAAGGTGCGACAGTACAGCCTGGACATGTCTCCGTTTGATGGCTGTTATCAGAACGTCGGGCTGGTTGCCGTGGGACACTCTCTGCCTCCGAGCGCCGTCACTGAAATCAAACTGCACAGCAACATGTTCATGTTCAGGGCCAGTCTGGATATGAAGCTCATCTTCCTCGACTCCAGGTACAGAGTGTGTGAGAACTCTGCTCTAATATGCTCTATACATTCCTATTCGGACTTCTCTGTTTATCAAACCAGGTGCATATCGTTTGAGCAGCATCGGAAATAAAAACACTAACATAAGCCATATGAAGTGGAGCCCATACAAACTGATGCACAAAATACAACAATAAAAGCTCAAACACACACACACACACACACACACACACACACACACACACACACACACACACACACACACACACACACACACACACACATACGCACTACGGTCCATATTACCAAGAGAGCTCACCAGTCTAATTGCCACTCTTTTTTTTTGCCGCTCTTTTATTGTACATAATTATATCCTGCACAGACTATTTTTTTTTACCTTTATCTTGTTGCACACTTCTGTCTTTTGCACAATCTGAGTGATTCTGTCCATCCCAAATGTGACATGTAAATTTCTCCAGTGTGAGCTCAATAAAGTCTGTCTTATCACAACTTTTAATGAGATGTGCACAATTCGATCAAGACTATTTTTGACGTGTGACTGTGCGAAAGATCAGGGAACCATTAGATGAAGACGAAGCACAAAAGGCTGATTATACAGTTGTGGATCTACAACTGTGCACAGCCTGAGATTTCATTATTTTGGGCAAATTTTTTGACATGTTTTCTATTGCAAGGCCACCCAGCTGTATTTTCTTCTTTTTTTGCCAAGAATACAGCTTTACCATCAGAGAATATCCTTTTTTTGATTCTCTCATTTGTTGTTGAGGAATTTATAACTTTGTAAACTCTTCCGAAACGACTGCTGTTATGATTTAGGGCTGTATAACAATAAATTAAATTGAGAAAAAACCTCATCCTCCAATCCCAAAAGACTCATAGATGCTAAAGGGCAATACACGCTCATTGAGAAGAACGAGGGGATGGAGACTTTGAATCAGGATCATTTGAGTAGTTTCTGTTGCCATTATAATTGAAAATAGAAATGTGGCGTTTTAAATGGCCAATAAGACTAAAAACAGAATTCTACCTGGGTGTGCACCAGGTAGAATAGAAGTGCAATTTCAAGCGCAATTGCCCAAATAGGTCAAAAGTATCAAAAACAGATATTAATATTAGTATCAAAACTATATTGATACAATATAGAAATCAAATGCAAAGACAGTACTTTCCCTGAGTAGAAGCACTTTGATACGGTGTCTGTGTTGACTGTGTTCATGTGTTGTGTTCCAGGGTGGCTGAGCTGACGGGGTTCGAGCCTCAGGACCTCATCGAGAAAACTCTGTATCATCACGTCCACAGCTGCGACTGCTTCCACCTGCGCTGCGCCCACCACCTCTGTGAGCCACGCCACTCTCTGAGTCCTGTCTCCACTCTCAGTGAATATTGAAACAAGATGACAATTATGTCTTGATGTCAGGCTTTACACTCTTAAAACATAAATACATTTCATAATGAGATTTAGGATGTACAAAATCCCCTCCAGCTTCTTTGCTCTTTCTGCATGGAGGTTCTTTTTTTTGTGTCTGAACACGTTCCCTCCTGTCGCCCCAGTTTCCCCATTAGCCTCATTCAAAGATGCCCCTGACAGACGGACAAAAGCAGGCCTTCCCGAGCTCCAATGGTGAGACCTCTGCAGCAGGAGGTCTCACCGTGGAGCTCGGGAACTATCATTTGCTCACCGCACATTTTCAACTAATGAAACTGCCTAAAATATTGCATATTAGAAAATGCATTTTGTGGATCATGAATTATAATAGTTTTAGATAGATAGATACTTTATTGATAGATAGATAGATACTTTATAGATAGATAGATGGATAGATAGATACTTTATTGATCCCCGTAGGAGAAACTCAGGTGTCCAGTAGCAGCAAAAATAAAAAAATCCATCCCATCCATCCATTTTCTACCCTTTAATCCATTTCTGGGTCAGGGGGGTGGCAGTCAGAGATGCCACCCAAGTCTCATAGCACCAGTCCCTCACTGACCCTCTGCAGGTGGTGAGTCCACAGGAGGCTGCTCTCTGAGTGTGAGCATAGCCTTGATCTTTCAGTGGGGGCTTTGGGCAAAGTGGGGTTAAGTGTCTTGCCCAAGGACACAACGACAGCAGTCATCAGTGGGAGTCGGTGGAGAAGGTGTAGAGGTGGGAATTGAACCCACGACCTTCTGGCCTTAAGGGTAATGGCCAAAAATAAAAAAATAAAATTGATAATTCTGGTGTTATGGTAAAAAGTGTTTTGTTGAAAAAATTAATACATTTACCTACTTTACCTTCACCATTGTAATATTTATACAAAACATTTCTATAATGTACTTGAAATATGTTTCTCTGTATTAGAAAGATTTTCACACACTCAAAACACTCACATGTTGCCTGTATGTGTTGGTGTAGTGTTGGTGAAGGGCCAAGTCACCACTAAATACTACCGCTTCCTGTCTAAACACGGCGGCTGGGTTTGGGTGCAGAGTTACGCCACCATCGTCCACAACAGCCGCTCGTCCAGACCGCACTGCATCGTCAGCGTCAACTACGTCCTCACGTGAGTCCCATAGCAGTACAGTATACAAATGCACAATGAACAGCTTTGAAGGTATTTCATGCAATTCATTTCAATTCCACAAACTTCGGCTAACGTGCCTAAGCTGGTGTTTACACGGAGACGCTGTGACAGTAAAACGTTAGAGTTGGGTATTGGATTGGCCTTTTCGTTTACATTAAGACAGTGTTTCAGGGAGGTGAAAACGGAAGTGTTGAGAAACAGCCTCCAGAGTGAAACAGAACAGATACGCTGCGCAGCGGGGGGCTAGAAAAAAATTGTGAATTGTCTGGCTGGAACGACATCAGCACTTCCCTACATGTACATTTGGACATGCGCAGTAGCCAAGAACAAACGTAAACAACCATGGTGGCGGGTCAATTATTGCTGTGTGTGTGTTCGAGCGCTACACAGAGGAGTTTTCTTTTCCTTCGCCTGTCCAAACAAAATCACGCAAAGCTGTAGTTTCAGTTTCCATTTTCGCTGCTGCTGATAAAAGCAGAATGATGTTGGTGCATTCTTTCCTGTCTTTGCGGTGGCCTGAGGAGGATGTTGTTGAGGAAGTGATTATACTGCTGAGGGTCTCGTGTGTCTGTTGTAAAGTTCCACTGCCCACTACTGGCCGAGCGCTAGAACTGTATTGTTTTCCGTCGTCGTCTAAACGCGACTAAACTTCGAACAAAGAGCCTGGTCGTTTTTGCTAAATGCTTTGAAGCGTCCCTGCAGTGTCTCCGTCTGAACAGGGCCTAAATCCCAACAGTCATTCCCTCGGAGGACTTTACAAAACCGTAGAATTCGCCAACACAGATCAAACAGTCAAACACAAGTAATACAATTATAAAAAACACTTAGAGCCATTGATCCATAAGGGGCAGATGACCAATGTCCATAAATGGTGACAAAGTCCTGGATCATGGTAATCCTGTGCTTCAGGATTCCACACATTTCCCCGACCACCTATTCCCACCCATTTACCAACTTAGAATTGCCTCAATATATCTGCAATGAAAAAGTAGGACAAATGGGATAGCGCTCCCAGTCGGTCTCCAGACACAATGGTTTATTTTTATTGACACAGGAACAGATGAGATAGGAGCCCCTCTGTCTGTCAGTCAGCCCACCTGTAGGTGATGTAAAGCAAGTGTCATCTCTGTCATATGAGATAATGAGTTTTGGAACTGGAGATGTGCGCAAACAGGGAAGCAATTAAGGGAAGCAATTAACAAAAGGTTAATTGGTAGAATGACACGTATTTGTCGGGAAAGTTTGATCCACTAGTTATTTATCACTGGAGACAAAGGGTGTTGTAATGAAAGCTAGAGGGTTAGATTAGATTTGTATGCTATCAGCAGCCTCAGAATCGACCCGAGTATTATGTCACTGTGTGGCGCCTATGGAGACTTCAGTACAGTTTATCCAGGCCTGTGTAAACAACTGGGAGCCTGCAGACGTCTGCGATTTCTCAATCGAACAAGTTTGATCCGTGAAGTTGAGATTTAACCAGGACTCTCCCACCTACAGTACTGTATGTCCACCTCTATAAAGACAGTATAATGTTGGTTTTATTTTTTTCTAACACAGAAATGGGCAGATTAAAAACACTCACAAGGCTCTTTGGAGTTGTCTGTTTCAATGATGAAATCCAGTGTTTAAAACTAAATTTCCTCTTATCTGAATGAAAGAAAATCGGTTTCTCATTCTGCTGCTGTGTATAAAAATATGTTTATTTTTATTTCTCACTGTTTGAAGTTAAATCAGACAATAGTTCATATGTATTTTACACATAACATGTATATGTATATGTCTGGGTATACTGTATGTCTTTATACCCACCTCTACGTGGAGTGTTCTTCCCTGCCGGGGGACTACGGATGCAAATTAGCCTCAGGCTAACTCCGGTACAATGCATCAAATGGTAACATTTATGTTCTAATTGTACATTGTCCCTTTTTAAATAAATAAATAAATAATAAAATAATGTATATGTAAAAGTGCAAGTGCAATTCATTCAGCACAGAAAGTCTTGCAGACTCACCTGTTTCACTGTCTTTTTTTGTATTTTGTTTATTTTAGTAATACTAAGAAGACCATTTTGTGTCTGAAATGAAGAATACATTAAAGTAAATCATGATCCATTGATTTGACACAACCAAAAGCACAATGTCTTTATCTATACAACTCCCATTTCTACGTCCTCTCACTCTGTGTTGATAAAGTCCTATTGAAATGGCTTCACCTGCTGTTAACCACAGTATTCGCAATATCACCGCTGCTCTAATGTGTGAATTTGACACAAGTGCATTGATTTAAAGCTCATAAATTCAGCCATAAAGCTGCAATAACAGCTCCGCCCAAGCTGTAATGAATGAGCAATGAGCCAAATGACTCTCTAGATCACACAGCTTGTTCTCACCAGTTTTGCCTTTGAAACACGGGTAGAGCGGCTTCTTGCGGTGGATAAAGCAACACCCAACAGTGACATAAAAAGAGAGTGACTTAATTATTATTGACTCTTAGTTTTCTGCACCATGACGTCTGGAATCTATTCCAGACTACCCAATATAAATATAACTCTGAGCTGGTTAAATGGTTATAGAATTCCTTGCCTTTCCTGGCCTCACTATTCCCCTCTTGTTCAAAGTATAAATACATGAATACTGCTCAAAAAGTGTTTGGGAAAGTATTAAGGAAATACAGAAAAAAAAAAAGTCTTCTTTGTGTAATTTGTGCAGCCTCTGGTCCCTGTTTTTTCCCCAATTTATTTCCTCTGGGTTAGATTTTTAGTTATAATTATCCCCAAAAACTGCCCTATACAGCACAGTTCAGTTTCCATGGTATTCTTTGCACTTTCCCACATAGGTAGAATTGCGACGAAATGCTTTTCTCTTTGCACAAAGGCCTATCAGACGTGTGGTTTTATCAGAGGCGTGTTGGTACACCGGTAGCTCCGTGTACTCAGCCGCAGATACGAGGAGATATCAGCACTTCACCTGTGGACGACCCCGGTGCGAGCCTCAGCTGATAACCTGTGCTCCTGACCGACTGGCGCTTTTAGGAACGACACCACGAATAATGGCTCTGAGTAAAGAAATATTCACTACAATAAAACCAGTGATAGTGATTACTGTATTTGGCCATTATTATTGTTGTATTTATTAACTCTTTAAAAGTAGCTAAATGTCTACATGTGCCCCTGAATAAGATAAGATATACTTTATTGATCTCACAAAGGAGACATTTACAAATCCAGAACTCTTTCTATAAAGCAAACCCGGCTTCCTCCAAATGTTTGCAGTTTTTTTGTCTCTTCAAAACGTTTCAGTTCTCCATCTTTTGTCTGTTTCTGTAAAAACTCTGGCACCTAATGGATTAATAGACCCAAAATCTCTGAACAAGTTTAGCTGGGTTCTGTTACTTTATTGCCTATTAGAACTAAAAATGAAGCTGTGATTTGTGATACCGTGTGTATACTCACTACATGTACAGTGACTGGACCCATTAATCTAAAAGGCGTAAGTATTGTGGTTATGCTTTTACAGCGATGCAGGAAAATCAATGACAACTATAAATGTGGGATTCTAACTGGGTTTTTATTTCCGTTGCATTGTTGTAGTATATCAGTAGATGTAGTATTATCAGCATATATTATAACTATGGGTTATTGAATAGGCCTGCAGAGATGCATTAGCAAAATCATGCTCAAAAAATGCTGTTTGGATGGGTTTTTTTTTTTTACTTTAATAATATCAAACAAGAATATTTGTTGAATTTGATCTTTCATTCCCTTCTCCCGTCGAGCGCAGACTGGCTCTGTGACAGCTTGGGCCTTCACCGTTGTCACTTTTCCAGTTTTGTCTGTGACTGTAGCTGTTCTAATCCCTCTAATGTCGCTTGTGTGAGGAGAGATTGAGCAGAGCTGCAGCGATCGTTTTTCTGTTTGTCCAAAGTAAACCGTGTCCTGCTTCTTCTGCGCCGCCTCGAACCGATTCTTTGTCTGCTGAGAAATCCACGCAGCTCTTCAGACACCAATCAATTCCCATTTTCCCAGCAGTGAGAGGCAAGAAATTAGAATTTAAAATGAAGGAGCGAGGCCTTCTTCCATCTGCCATTTCTGCCCTCAACAAGATCTGACTCATTAGGCCTGGATGCTTTTGGAAACATGTGCAATTGCAATTTATAATCAAATATAAGTCTGAATCTCTGTCAATAGATATTTTATGAAATCTTTCTCGCGTGTCCTTACACTATACACTACAGTTTAGCTGGAGGACTGTATATTCTGATAGAATTTGTTCCGGTTTGTGGCTAACTATAGTTCATTTTTCATCCACAGTAGACATTATATACATTCTATAAGTTGGGGTAGGACTAAAGGGGTAGGACTACGTGTGTACAGCTATTTAAGTATATATTTATCTATTGTCCATGATTGTGTATTATATTTAAGATAATAACATCAAATGTGTGCTGATTTTTGTTGTTGCTATATTGATCTTTGGGACAAGGAGTCAAAAAAGCTCAGTTTAAAATAGATTGATAAACAGGAAGGAACGAGGCCAGGACTAATCAGACCATTTAGACATTAAACAAATGGTTGTGTCTCCAATAACCTGAGGATGCTGTGCAGAAAATGAAATGTTCCAACTGTTGCGAGAAGATGCATAACGTTTTGTTGTTCATTTAACAATAGACAATGACCAGTGATGACCAGACTATCACTCGTATAACTTAAATGATACGCAAGGTTTTGTTTTCTTATTTCTGTTACTATATATTTGTAGATCAAATGTATTATCGTAATCTCAAAGTGTCTTCTCTATGTGTTTTCAGGGACACAGAGTATAAGGGGCTGCAGCTGTCGTTGGACCAGGTCGCCTCTAAGTCCCAGTTCCCGTTTGGCAACAGCTCGGCGGACCGTTCGCTCCGGGGAAGAGTGTCCCGGCCCAAAACGAAAGCAAGACTGTCCCCCTACACCCAGGTGAGCACGCACACGGGCAACAAGGGCTTTCCTAGAGCGTTTCATAGAAGTCTGGGGAGGAACCACAGAAAACTACATGCAATAAAAATGACAAAACTATAGAGAAAGAGCCCAATGAGTCAGTATATGATGCTTTGGGCCAAAAGCTGTTTGCTGATTTATATCTGAAAAAGCAGTTCTAAAGTTCTATACAGTGTTTGTCTTATACATCACATCAACAACATACCTGGAGTTGTATTTAAAACTATCCACGCCTGATTCAATCATCTTTTCCACTAACTCGGCTCTGTAAACTCTGCATGTTGAGTTTCACAAATATTTGATGGCATAGATGGACCTCTTGAGGTTTTCTGTGTTGTTTTTAGCCCATTAGTCATCTCCATACATGCTCCTGTGCTGTGTCTGTTATGGCCGTTAGTAAGCACGCCATCATAATTTGTTGTTTTATAAAATTAAAGGTATAAATTGCAGTGTTAAGCTGTGTAATAATTCAATAATTTGTGATTATTGTTATAACTATGCAAAAAAAAAAAAGGGCAGCAGTTGCATTTCCCTTTAAGCACATCTCCAAAGACCAGAGAGTATAATCAGCTGGGTGGTTATCGCTCTCGCCTCTCTCTGGAGTTTGCATGTTCTCCTTGTTTGTGCATAGGTTTCCTCCCCTTACCACTAAAAACATGTGGGTCAGGTTGGACCACAGTGGCTCAGATTAACCAACAACATGATTGATGTAATTTGACTTCATTGTAATGACCAATACAGGACTTAACTTGGACGCCTCGCACAGACTCTTTGCTCTATCCACAATATTTGTAGTTGCTAATTGAGAAAACATGTTGTATATAGAAGGATATTTTGGGTATGAAGTCATGCACGACTCACTGTGAGCCCGGAGGCACGGCTTTGTTGTGTGAAATCTTGTCATTGTGGTGAAAAGAGAAAATGTTTTATCCAGATGAGCTAATGGATTTAATGGTGCGATTATCAAATATTCAGGTCAGAGACGTGAAGCCAAGTCTGGATCCTTCAGAGACAGAAAAGCCAATAGCAGCTCAAACCATTATTATCATTTAGAATACAAGGGCAATTGTGATTTTTTTCAAGCTTTTCTTTGTAATGTTATTATCTAGTTTGAATGGTATTTTCTTTCTTTACTGTGTATTTTAAACACTTAAAAGAACAAAATGTCTGTTGTGACTTGAAATTCTGTTTTAAAGGGCCACAATGTTTTTTGCGGCAGATACAACAACATTACAAGAATGCTTGGTCCAATATATACTGTAGTCGGTAATATTCTGGCATAGCTCTTTCTTGTTTCTTGTGTGCCAAAATGCCTGTCTGATGCTGCCAAATCATATGTGTATCATAGATTAAGGGGGAAAATAATCCATGAAATCTAAGAACAGCGAATTTGTATAGGGATTGTTGTATTGAATGTATGTAAATTAGGATAACGCAAACTCACAAAGAAAATACTTTATCTTAAACAGAAGGAAATACCAGTATAACATGTTTTCAATAATGCTAAAATGAAAAAATGATGTGTCTTTTCTCACAGTTTGGAAGTTTCCAGGCCGAGCGCTCGGAGTCGGACCGGGACAGTCCGTGGGGCAGCAGTCCTCTCACAGACTCCGCCTCTCCGCAGCTTCTGGACCACAGTGAATCCATGGACTCCTCCTGCGTCTTCAGACAGTTCCCTGACCCCAGGACGCTGTGCTATGGGCTGACGGAGGAGCAGCCCCCCCTCCCAGAGCCGCACTCACACCTACACTCACATGCCCAGGTGAGCACATCATCTCTATAGTGGTAGGAGCTAAGAGCAAAAGCCTTTATTCATCTCTCAGTGGGCGAAATTGAAGGAATTTTTGTATATAGGGTTAGTATAAAAACTAGTCCCTAATCATGAGTTTCAGTGGTATCAGGTATCAAAGAACTTAAGATCAGAGTTAGGGTTAAGGTGATTTTATGCATCATTTAAAAAAAAAAAAAGTATTCAAATTATAATATTTAGTTTGAAAGTTTTATTTATTGAAAGGTCCCAATTTTTCATAATTCTGAAACCCATGCATATAGTATGCAGTATACCTAGGAAATCCACTTGATTGAAATCACACAGCAATAATAACTTATTTGGCCCATGGATTGTATATTAGGGATGGATAGACACGAACATAGTAACCGGCCTCTATGAAGTGAAAGCAAAATTATAACTTTTTTGTTGTTCTAAGAAAAAGTGGGTCTTTTACCATATAATTTAATACTTTGGGGAACCCTGTTTTGCTAAAAGCCTTTTGGGCATGACTTCTTGTGGTAAGGCTTTTCACGTCAAGAGAATGAAAGTTTTACCCATTCTTCTTTACCAAAACAGTTTAACTGTGGCAGATTATATGGTGAGTGTTTGTGAACCATTCCATTGTAGGGATATTGTCCAGCTGGAAAGACTCCGCCCCAATCTCAAGGGTTTTGTTGACTCCAACCTGTTTTCTTCCAAACATTCTTATATTTGGCTCCATCCATCTTCCCACATTAATTCATTCTTGCCTGTCCCTGCTGAAGAAAAGCAGGCCCATAGCACACTGCTACCACCCCACCATATTTGACACTGGATATGGTTGTATTAGTAGCAACTGCTGTGGTATAACTGGATCTGTTGTTCAAAACCAAACCCACAGTTTTAAAGTTGGTTTCTTCAATAATCACAACATTTGTAAGTAAATGATTTTAACATGGTTCCTTCTCCTGCACAGGGCCACAGCTGTGATAAGGGGCGCTGTGAGGCAGGCAGGTACTTCCTGGGCCCTCCCCCTGCTGGCAGAGAGTCATGGTGGGGAGTGGGCCGCTCTGTTCTGCCCTTGGGGAAAGACTCGGCGGAGGGTTATGACAGCAGCGTGCCACACCTCACCGCGGTCCACAGCTACCACGGTGAGTCAGTGAGTTTGCACAGAGTTTGCATTGCTCGCTTTTGTGTTGGAACAAATAATATCCGCATTTTGACTGAACCGTCTTATTAGGATGGATGTGCCTTACTTATTATAGCCACCCTTCAAATGTTATCTCAGTAAGGTTTGGTATATAATAATGATGAACCGGTATCATTGATAACTTTAGAAGCATATGAAACTCTTTCTGTATATTTTGAATATTGTTCAACAGTTATTTTTGTAATTCAATTTAGAATTAGAGACCAATACGTGTTATAGACATGCACAGTGGCACGTCATAATTATCACCATAACAAAAGCAAGTTTGATGTATCCTGCTTTGCATGTAATGAGTCCGACATAATTTATTTTCCCATTGTTCTTGTGAATACAGAAGTATACAAGATATTCCTAAGTTTCACTATCGCTGTCTTTTTGTATTTTGTTTAAGTTATTTCCATTGTGCCTTTTTGCCTTCATGCCTTTACTTGAGGCAGTTGCGAGGTGTAGTGACAATAGCACCATTCTAGTGCCCAGTGCATTGGCTGAAAATCAATGTCGATGAAATAATCATGTTTATTCATTTTGACCGTTGTGACTCCCAGTGCCTTGATGATCGCCCCTCCTCTCTCTACTCTCTAACATAATAGATATCTCTCTTTTTTTGTTCTTCACAGGCCGCGGCCACTGGGACGATGACAGCGCGATGAGCTCTCCAGAGGGTTCCACCAGCGACTCCAGCCCGCCCCAACACCCGCCCCATCCCAGCCGCATCCAGAGCCTGATTCGTGCCACGCAGCAGATGATCAAGGAAGAAGAACACCGGCTGAACGCACGCAAACTCACTCAGGACGGCAACGGCCTTCCCAAAGCCCCCTGTTACCCCACCAACTACCCCCCCGCCCCCTTGCCGATACAGACCGTGGTGTGCCGAGGTCTGAGTCACGCCGTTAGCCCCAGTGCTAGTCCAGCTCCTCTGTCCAGACTCCACAGCCCCGTTTCTAAGGAAAAAGACTACCTTCAAAATGACTCAGTTTCGCTACCGTTGCACCATTCATTCGGCAGGTCAGGCGCCTGTTCCGGATCGCCCACACCTGCCCCCGCCATGTACCCATCCCAAAAACATGTGTCATATTCGATGAACGGTTACGCACTGGACAGCATCTTTGACCCGGACTCGTTAAGAAGTTCCACTCATTTGGAAATGGGAGCACGGCTGGCATCAGAGCAAAGTCAAGCTCTCAAAGGGACTTCTGTGATTATAGCCAACGGCAGCTAACGGCTAAGATACAATAGATAGACAAGTTAGCATTCTGTCAGACAAAAAGAAAAGAATTGTCAACATCAGTTAAAACATGTGTCAATATTTTATATTTTGATTTTCTTTATTCCAATTGCAATACATTGCAACTGAGGAGGTAATGACAATGGAACAGGATTTTAAAAGCATAACTTTCAAACCACGAAGTTATGGAGCTATGTAATGAAAATCCATGTATGTGAGTAGTTCCTCGCTCTTAAAACATTATGGTCCTATCACTAGTTCACATGTGTGTATCTCTGGCCTCTGTCACATCTTTGGATCACCTTTTTCAGACAGAAAAGTGAAAGAAGAGGACCACCCTCACTCAGCCAATCAGCTCAACCCAAAGTTTAGACGAATGACTCACAGGGCTCTCTTTCACATTTATGCACAACAGGACATGTTTTCTAAGAAGATGAATGAACAGAATGATGTAGTCCAATTTATTCACAAAATGAACAATGAACAATTATTTTTTTGTTGAGTGCAGTGAAGGTCCAAACATTGGGCATCCTAGTTACTAAAGCGGACGTGTGTTGAGGCAGGTCAAACTAAGAAACAAAATGCACTTGAATCAAAGATCGACTATATATAAATAATTGATGAAGATATTTCTTTTTGGCAGTGCATTTATTAATCTTATTTTTATTGAATTTATTTATTTTATCCAATCATTAAGTAGTGGAGTTATTTTGAGAACTCAATTCACCAAGAACCAGCAAATTCACTGCAGTGTAACATTTTGTTTGTTGTTGTCACAAGAAGTAGGTTTATAAAGCACTTGTGAAAACTGGATAATTCCCAGTCCAGTCCCATTTGGAAACCTGGGCACGTTTGGATAAGCACTGGTACCAGAGTGGTCAGACCGGTTTGGGAGCATGGCCAAGTTTTTTTTTGCATACTCTGTACTCTGTAAACTCATTGTCAATGCAGTTAACAAGAGGTTGGGTTTTTTATCCTGTCATTGTTTGACCCTAAATATCAATATTGAAATGTCACATATTAAATTGAGCCAAACACAAGAGTATTTTGTGTTATGTTTTTTTATGGCAAGCTGATGAATGTCACCCGTGTATGATTTATTCAAGCGTTCAAATCCAATATATACGTGGTTACAAAAATATACCCCATTGATTAAATGTTTAGATGCTAGACTAGTGCAGCTTTATCTAACACTTTCACATGAATACTCACTTAAACTGATCCAATCTTGCTATTCTCACAATTAAATAGTTGAGCCTGTTCTCCTTCGCTGCCCTCGCATTGATAAAGAGCCCTGGCTGTTCTTGTTAAGTCCGATGTCCGACGGTCGGATGTAAAATCCTGCATATAAATTATTTGTGTACGGGGCTCAGCTGAAGTTGAGTTTCCGGTATTCTAAACATGGCTGAATTAACGGTATATAGGAGGATTTTCTACTTCCGAGTGAATCATCAAGACTATTGGACTCTCAATTGTCAATCATTCTGGTGATACGTACTCGTCAAACAAGACCAGAATGTTGTGTTCATAAAGTGGAGAGGGCGGTTCTTAACTAAAACTTGGGGAAATCCTCCTCTAAACCTCTAAAGGCTGTATGCACGATAAGTTTTCCCCAAACCCTTCAGACCAGATCCACTCATAACAACCATGCCACGCCCACTCCTGTCCTGAATAATAATGAAGACTGTATTTTCACGAGTCAAAACAAGTTAAACTAGTTGTAATGTTGTTTTGCTAGAGTTCAGAGTTCACTAAGCTACGATGTCAAACATGAAACATTTAGTAATTGTTGATGTTCATTGGACCCCGACCCTCACTTTGGGAACCACTGGAGCGGACACATCCTCTGCACCTGTGAATAATCAATGCTATCTTCAGTGTTTGAACGGTGATACGCTGAGATAAACATGTAATTACTAACAAAAAGTTGTTGTTTTTAATTGTGTGGGCGGAACAGAGACCGCACAGATGTATTGAAGGAAACTGACGCTGTGACAAAAACACATTTGTTCTAAACACCTGAGAAAAAATTGTATTTAGAATATTCTCTCTTTCCGGAGTTTTTGATTACACCTTCATTACACACCTATTATTTTTGTGTGACGTGAATTAAATCTTTTTGTCCTTGTTTTTGGGTTTTCATATTTGTACACATGTTTGAGTTGGTCTTTGAAAATTCATGTTCATTTCCTAAACTATTTATGATCTTGTAAATATGATGTGAAAAGACAATTTTGACTGTTGAACTCAAAAACTTGTATTTATTATGGGACAAAAACCTGATGCTGTACATGTGTGTTTTTGGACTTGAAAGAAATTAAACATGTTTTGCAGAAAAATCACGTTGAATCATTTTGGTTTGATTGACACCAATAAAATTATAAAATGACTCCTGTCTCAGGACATTGGGCTCAGCTCCATTGTATGTACTTAAGTGTTGCATCACAAGTTACAGAACAGTAGAATGAGGAGCACACAGCACAAGATAAATGAGAAATAATAATATAATGATTAAAATAAAATGAGGGGTGACAGTGGCTCATTTGGTAGAGCATTGGCCTTTGGGGGTCGTGGGTTCGAACCCACCACGAGACCTACCTCACAACTCCCACTGATGACTGCTGTCGTTGTGTCCTTGGGCAAGACACTTAACCCCAATTTGCCTGAAGCCCCCGCTGAAAGATCTCAGCTCCTGTGGACTCATCACCTGCAGGAGGATCAGTGAGGGGTTGGTGCTCTGTGACTGGGTGCAGTTCTGACTGACACCCCCCAACCCAGAAATGGATTAAGGGGAAGAAAATGGATGGAACATCTCTAACTCTAGCATCAAACATGTATTAAATGAAACATAATTAGTGACACATACTGCACTTTCTGGCAATTGCATCAGTAATCATGGCCACGGATCTACATGTGTCTCAGACTGGGAGATTGTGGCAACAACCGATGAAATGTATGACTTTATTAAACCAGTGAGAGTGCCGACTACAAAGAACCGAAAAAGGTCTCTACGATGATACATTAAAAACCTGCCAGACATCAGCACAGCTCTTATTCATCACTTAAGCTCCTCTCACTCGTCCGTCTCCCATGACGACGTCTCGTTGCTGTGAAACGCAGCAGAGCCCAGACTCTGTCAACAAAACACTGACGTTTCAGGATAAAAGTGTAAATAATCTTCACACCTCACAAATATGTGATGACAAAGTTTTAACTCGTCTAAAATTCTACTTTTCTGGTGAATCCAGCTTTTAAAGGTGTTTGAAAAAGGGGTTAAATTACAAAATAGAGAAGTGTATACGTATATTCCCATTTTGATATAAGATATTAATCTCACAAACTAAGTAAGTTTGAGATTTGTCTGTGTAACATTTAACTCTAATTTATGCTCAAAACACTGCAGCAAAAAAGGATGCTGAGACTTTTTCTGAGGTCACAAGCATCAATCTGGAACCATACATTGGATATTATTATTAATGATTCATTATACATACAGGCTTCTAATTGCTAAAACCAAACTTGTAACAAAACACCAAATCTCTGATGGGGGGGGGGGGGGGGTTGTTTTCTTATATTACTCTTTTTATTCTCAGCCTTTCTTCCGCTTTCCGTCTTTTTTACATAAACGCTGCTGATCTCGGCTGGTTGTTCTAATTGGATTACTTTGTCTGAGTGTTTTCCTCAAAGTGACATTTTATCGATCTCTGCAGGGCCCCGCGGTGGCCCCTGGATCGGCCCCCGGTGCAGTTAAAAGGCCTGGCTGCATGTCTAATCACTGCACGGCACAGTTAGCTCCTCTTTCCCTTCTGCACTTGTGTCCATACAAATGCAACACGGACGAATCATTTACAGATGTGAGTTTGCGCCACATTACAAGATGGGAACAACACATTAGAGGCGACAGAGTGGGAAATGGCCCGAGTGCTCGTGCGGAACAGGTTTGAGTTTGGGGGAAATTAGCAAGAGGAAAAGTGAGTTAGCTGTTAACGCCTTGGGCTGTTTAGAGACATTAGAAGTTTAGGTGTGGGATAACATTGGGTTTACTTTCCGCCCCCACCCTCCACCATCTCCCACCTAAAAATACTAGGTCTATGAACTAGTTTTACAATCCATCTTGTTCATAGATCTCTAAATACATTTCTAGTTCGTAGATGCATTTTTTTCTGCATTTTACTTCTGTCAAAACATTGATCAGCTTTTTCAGACAGAAAAGTTAAAAAAGAGTCCCCCCCACTCAGCCAATCACCTCTCAAACCATGTAGTGTCAAATAGTGACTAACTGGGCTTTTTTACAGCTACAGTAAATGAATCATATTTTTCTATTAGGATGAAGACAGCATTTTGTCGTCTGATTTGTTCAAAAAAATATTACTTTAAACGAATCATTCAGCTGGGGAAAACCAAATGTGTCAGTTCAAGAGTTTGTGTGAAAACGGCTGGTCAATATTTCAGTTTTTCTCTCTTTAACACTCTAATGTACAACATTTAGTAGAACAAATAGCTGAGGATTTGATACAGAAGTGGTCAGGGCGAATAGATTCCTTTTCTACTCAGAGATTATATCAGAAATATAATATCAGGAACAGGCCTATAGATTCATTTGTCAGGGAGAGATGAGAGTGCTCTGAGAACTCTTTCAAACACGAGGAAATAAAAAGTGGATTTTGTCCAATGGATGTTCTTCAAAATCATAACTCATTCATCATTATCAATTTGTGTTGAAATTGTAAAGTTTTGCGCAGGATATAGCTATTTGCTATAGTAAAAGCTAGGGAATGCATGTATTTATTAAATCTATTCTACTTTTTACACGTTTTCAGATAATCAGAAAGCCTGAAGGATCATTACAACTTCAGTAAGACCAGGACTGTGAGGCTCAGTATTATAAGCTTTAGACTGATAATAAATCACAATTCCGGGCAATTTTTTCCAAATTCGTACTCTCCAGAGGTCAAGCTTTCATGCATTGCAGCCTCTTTTGTGTGACTGAGAAT